AACCCACGATTCCGGCTTCCGAGCGAGCGAAGACAGTAGGCACAGATTACAACATTAAAATTAATTTAGGTAAGTAAGTTGTGATAATTTGGAACTTCCACCAACAAAACTTCATGGAAGGGACTTGAAAGTGATATCGTTGCAGTCACCGCCCGTGTATTGCGGCACTATACAATCAAATTTTATGAAAATTGATAAGCTTAGATTCTTTTTTGAGGAACGCACATGCCATTGTACCCATTTAGTTTTGGAAACGATTATGGAATTACTGACAGTATAGTCTTCATTTTAGGCTTTTAGGTGGCTTATCTGATCGTTATAACAACACTTGCCGTCTATCCTTCTTGATGTACTATGACCAATTAGCAACATTTCACATAATATATCCGGCGATCTTTTCTGTAAGAAATCCATCAAGTTTTGTTTGATATTCTGTAATTTAATTTGTTTTTATCACAATCCCTTCATTTATTAGCCTGTGAAAGTATTTAACATGTAAAGTTCGCGTCTAGTCTGTCTCTCCTTCCTTCCACACATACATGTTATTCGCTCGCTGAAGCGCCTTTCTGAAGCAGAGCTGAGGATTCATTTTATTGCTTTTGCATGCAGCCAGTGGTGGCACCGAAATTTATTAAGAACAGGTTCGCTTAATTCGTTAAGCACAGGGACAACTTTACCTTACCTTTAATAGCATAATATTTTTTTCCAGTTTCATTTGAACTTGAGGCTTTCGAAATTTGTTAACAACCGGTACTTAGTTTTACGAAGTTTGTACAAACGGGCTTTATACGGTGGTACCATTGCATACAGCAGAATCCTGTCATCGCAAGATCGTATACTGTCGCTGAATAAGAATATATAGAAAAGTCGCTTTTCCTCAGTCCTTCCTTCTCAGTGTATGGTTTATCAATCATTATGCCATTCGATGCTATGTAGCCTGTCCTTCACAGTCAGGAATCGTGATTTTTTTTTCTCTGTAGGATCTGAAAGTTATTACAGCGGTAGTTGTTAAGAGTTATATTTTCTTGGATATAATACAGTGTAGTCCGTTGAAAATCGACCGACGTTTCGGAGGAATATGTTGCCTCAAACTTCATGGTCAAAGAACACCTCGAGCGAGGAACTATAGTGAAGCAGGTGGTATCTTGCATTTGCTGCCTGCTTCACGCAAGTTTCTTGTCTAGTCTATTCTTCGACACTGAAGATGGAGGCGACATGTTCCTCCGAAATATCGTGTGACTGAGCAGACTACACGGCATTATATCCCAGAGGATAGAACTCTTACTGTGTCCGTTATAACAGTGGTTATACATTCCATTAATGATTTAGACAAGGGGCACTACCAAATAAAAATCAAAGTATCAAGCTCTGGCATGGCTGTGTGTTGTAATTCCATTTATAAATTTACGCTTTATGTACAGTTTATATTTACTTTTAACCAGTGATAAGGAATGCAGAAAGTTACATGTTGAGGACCTTCGCCATAATTTTTACCCTTCGTATATGTTTTTAAAGAGCTGCTTCTAAATTAAAATAAAACTCATATCACCGTCCTTGTGCAACTTCATCAGTACATCAAAATTCACACTACAAAGGCTCCTTGTCTCTTCGTATTGTTTATTTAGCACTGCATGTTTCGGCTTAACTGGCCAACATCATAAGACTGTAGATGAAAACTGCTGCTCTGCTGTTACGCTGTTGTACGTTACATTTTATGAAGTACTCATAAAATATTTTAATTTATTTTTTAGTTTATCATGCTGTGTTTAATTATGTTGTGCACACATGTTTAATGTATCTGTATTCTGTAATAATGGGTTACACTAATATGTTCCTAACAAAACGTTCCCGAAATTTGAATTTTACGCGCAAATGGTTATGAGTACATCGAAATACCGCTTGGTGTCTCCCCACACACCCTTCTTGAATCAGTGTGGCAACCGGCGTCGAGGTGAGTGGTTGAGTTTATTGTTGGTGAACGTATTTCCATTGTTGTGTTTCCGTGAGTTTGCGGTTTTGCGATGGCTGACCTGAGAGAGCAGCGTGTCTGTATAAAGTTTTGTTTTAAACTTGGGAAAACCGCTGCAGAAACGCATCAGATGTTGAAGCAAGCTTTTTGTGACAACAGTTTAGGCCAGATACAAACTTACGACTGGTATAACAGTTTAAAAAATGGCCGAATATCGACTGATGATGACGATCGTTCGGGTAGGCCGTCAACTGGCACCACGCCAGAAAACGTCGCGAAAGTTAAGGATCTGATTCTGCAAGATCGTAGACTGACCATCCAAGACCTCTGTAACACCTTGGGACTAAGTTATGGTACATGTCAACGAATTTTGTCAGAGGAACTGAACATGAGGAGGATTGCGGCGAAGTTTGTGCCAGGACTGCTGCAAAATGAACAGAAGCAGCATTGCTTGGAAGTCTGCAGGGAACTTCAGCAACAGCTTCAAGAGGATCCAAACTTTCTTTCGAAGGTTGTCACTGGTGACGAAAGTTGTGTTTATGGCTACGATCCTGAAATTAATCAGCAATTATCGCAATGGAGGAGCCCTTCTTCACCTCAGCCAAAAAGAAGCTCGACAAGTCAAGAGCAACATTAAGTCCATGTTGATCTGTTTTTTTTATATACGTATATTGACGGGATTGTTCATAAGGAGTTCGTCCCTCCTGGTCAGACAGTCAATAAAGAGTTCTATCGCGATGTTCTAAAGCATTTGAAGGAGGACATGAGGAGAAAACTTCCAGAGAAGTGGCAGACAAACGACTAGGTACTCCACCATGACAACGCACGACCGCATACAGCTTACACTGTACAGGAATTTTTGGCTAAAAACAGGCTGGCAGTTGTTCCCCACCCACTGTACTCGCCAGACTTAGCTCCATGCGACTTCTTCCTCTTCCTCAAGAAGAAAATGAAGTTGAAGGGGCGAAGATTTGATACAGTTGAGGAAATTCAAGTGGAAACGCAGACGGTACTAAATACCCTAACAAAGAAAGACTTCCAGATGCATTTGAAAAGTGGCAGAAACGCTGGGATCGGTGTATGCGCTCCCAAGGGGACTACATTGAAGGTGATGGTGCAGAATAAGATCCAGTTAGACGTAATAGTTTTTATTAATATATTTCGGGAACTTTTGGATAGCACCACGTATCTCTGTAATTGTAATGTTACTTACATTTTTTTTGGTGTTTTGGTTTCTTATCTTTGTGGTGCGTGTAGCAGTTCTGGGTATTTGGAGTAGTGGTTGTTTTTAATTAGACTAGGGTGTATGTGCTGATGATAACTGGTGATCATTTCCTGCAACGTTCTGAATACTTGGTAATGTGTATCAGTGTTCGTCATTTATGTGTTAGTTATTTTTATTGATTTTTATATGGTATAGTATTTTTGTAATGTGTTAAGTGTTTTCTCTCTTGTGTTCTTATAATACCCATTGTATCTGTTATGGTCCCATAGGTATGCCCTATGTTTAATATGTAGCTAGAGTATCCCGAATTATTATTACGGTTTCTAATTGCATGTATATGTTCTTTGAAACTAGTGTTGAATGCTCTGCTTGTTTGTCCTGTGTATTTTAGTGGACAGTCTAGGCATTTCAATTGATAGATGCCAATTTTGTTGTATTTGTCTGTTCGTGGTGATGTTTTACTACGTTTTTTGTTGTGTTCAGCGTTATAAATGCAATTTTTCATTTGAGTGTCCTTGAATATTGTTCTGATTTTTCTTGTTCATTTTCTGCTTATGTGAAAGTGGCCCATTTTGTTATTGGGTGTTGTGGGTCCGACGTCTGTGTTCTGTTGTTGTGAGGCTAAATGTTTTATTATTATTATTATTATTATTATTATTATTATTATTATTATTATTATTATTATGTAATGTGTTTTTATAGTGTTTAGTTTTTTTCTTTTGCTTCTTCAGATATTGTGTATGTGTTTAATCTTTTTACTAAGCAGTTGATACTTGACATTTTATGTTCGTGTGGATGGCAGGAGTCGTTGGGTATTATGGCATCTGTTTAAGTGGTTTTTCTGTATATTGCAAATTCTAGGAGTAGGTCAAAAATTAGGAAGCACCTCATTGTGCAATTTTCTCTAACACCCTGTTAGTCCTGTTTCTTCCTTTCAGGTACATACGAGTATGATTTGACCAACCTGTACTCAGGACATTCTCAATATGTTCTTGATATTCAGAATTACTGCGTTTTCGGACTTTGTCTATTATCCGGTATTCTGAAAACTAGAATTACACGTTTCGGAAACTGGATTTTTTCCCGTCCTCAGGTGAGAGGGGAGACAATGACTCTGTTGGGTCCCCCAGAAAGAGCTAACCTAAATGACCGGACTACCCATGTCAGATTCACCACAACTAAGGGACCGAACCCTGTAGGTATTACCCCCCCCCCACACTCACCTGAAGATGAAAACAGGTGCAGTTTCCGAAGCGTTCTGTTCTCTAGCTTTTACTGGACGATGGACAAAGTCCGAAACCCCAGTAATCCTGAGTGTTATGAACCATCGCTAAAACCCTTTAGAATCTGCTTGTTCTTGATATAGTCCGCGTTATTCTCTCATGAGTATAAGTCCCATATTATGGGTCGGCATTCGATTTGTCTGTTTAAAGCGTTTGGTTATGTTTTATTTGAATCCGACAACATAAAATAGAACGGAAGTCTCTAGTATCGCGGAATTAATGTAAGTACTTCAATATTACCATGACAGAATTGCAGGGCGTAATGCGCGAGATGCCCGCATCTTATGCAAAAAGCAAGCCAAGACAGTACGCTTGTCTGCCTGACCGCACGTAATCATGAATACCAAATGCAGTAACGCGTGAGTATACGGAGCCTGTTCGTGGTTTAAACGTGTGGCTCGTTGAGACAACCCGTGTGTGCAGGCACGCATGTATTTTCCTTATTCCTGATCAGGGTGTGATGCAACTGGGGGCACTACTTACAAGCTGGCTTAGTGTTTATTGTATGGGTGTGGTGCAACAGATCGCGGTGCGTGTCAACAGCTTAGTTGCTTGTCAGTCCGTACGAGAGGAAGGATGTCTGAAGGCGGAGAACGTTTGGTGGTCCAACCAGGACAGCCCGAAGTGTATGTGCCGGTCAGTGTCTCAGCCTCTGATCACAAGCGACTGCCAGGTAACGTCAATAGTTTGTTCATGTTGACTTCCATGCGAGTCGCCGTGTAGTCACAAGTGGATGCCGACGCAAAATGGTGATTCGCGGGAAAGCGTAAGTTGTCATATAATTTAAAGAAAACCTAAATTAATTAGTAACTCTGCTGCGCCCTACGGCACGGGGTTATATATTTCTGTCTTTGGGATGCACCGACTGAAACAGTAGGTAGTTGAGGCCAGTGTTCTTGTGAACTTCAACGTTATAAGTTTTCTTCTTACATGCAACAGATATCAAGATAGCCGAAACGTCTGTTTATCGTTGCTTTGAACGAAATGATATTTTAGGCAGATAATTTTGCAAAATATAGCACATCGTAATTGTGTATTTTAACTTTGCGATCCCACCGATGAGTTTCAGCTTACAGATTGAAAACAACTATCAAGCTATTTGTGAACGATACTGAACATAACTGAAAAGGAACCCCAAATTTATCCTTTCGGAGGAAGTGGGCAATGAAAAAGAATTATTACTAAAATGTATGTGAAATCTTACTCTTGGGTATTAATTTACTAATTTCCAGTTTTAATTAGATCATGGCTGTATAAACTAATATGTGAACTTCAGTACGATGGTTTGCTTCATTTGTTACATATTTGGCAAATAAGAAAGACAATATCTTACGAGAATACGTAGTGTGGGCACGTTTGGGTTTAGTGAATCACATTTTGATGAATTCTACAGATCTGATTTTGGACTAAAAAGTGAAGGTATCCCTGTAACAGGCCGTGGAGGCCCATAGGGTTGTGAGATGTTGAGGTTCCCACAATTTCTAAGACAGTCGGTTCACAGATGGTAGTGAGGTTGTCAGCCTTACACACCGGTTAGCTGCCCTTTCGCCCAAGGAAGATTCCTGGTACTCATTTCTGTTAGAAGCTGAGTCGACCACAGGGACATAGTGCGGCTGTAAGGATTAGGTAGATAGAAAAAAAACACCTCTTCGGGATTCGATCCCGCGACCTTCAGGCTTGTAGCATAGCGCCTCAACCAACTACGCTACCGCGTGCCCCTTCTGATTTTGGAGTAAATAATATAATGTATGGCTAATTTAAATGCACCTATTTCAACCAATGCTGTATTCAAAGACAAAGGAGTTTCGTAATCTCTTAAATTGTGTAATTTTGTATTCATTCGTGCTGGAGTAAGTAATAAAAATGCGCTGATGCTCCATCAGTCGATAGTACTGAATGATCAAAATAATAGGCGGACATGTGGTTGTCGACTTGAAGACTGTTGTCTCCTGGGACATCAGGCCGTCTGATTGGTGGAAATCTCACGGAGAAGACTCGAATTGGAGCAGCGAGCTAGGGGTGGGGCGGGAGAATAAGCGACCATGAACTGTTTGAACTGGAGGACGAAGTAGTGTTAACAGAACACTCCAGGTGTAAGGGTATCCAGTCGAACCTGTTTCCTTGCGATCTCATGTAGCCACGAAACAGCTTTGTCTTCGTACACAGCGTCAGTTACAATTTGAAGTAAATTTCGCTTATTGAAGGGTGGAGTCCAAGTGGGTCCCCTCGGCACGGCGGCCACTGATTGGCCTATTGTAGCCTGCCCCGGGTGATTATGATGATGGAGAATTTGGTGGAATGAAGATTGGCAGGGGAAACCAAAGTACTCGGAGAAAACCCGCCCCAGCGCCACTTTATCCACCACAAATCCCACTTGGCCAGACCCGGGATCGAACCCGGGCCGCCGAGGTGGGAAGCCAGCGACTCACCGCTTGAGCTATGGCGCGGCCCTGCAATTTGAGGCATGTGTGTAAAAATACATATCATTAATATTAAAGGTAAAAAGAAGGTAGAGTAAACTTAAGTACTACTCCATAAAGAAGTATGGGGGAGTGGATATATGGAACCATGTATTCTTGACCTCGGCACCAGTTTGAGGTGAGTTATATCATTTGGATTTACCCTTTTAATTTTTAAAACGGGCATCCGAATCCGTTAAAATTGTGTCTATTTTTTTTTCTGTTATAAATGGAAAACGTATTGTGGGGTATTGGCTCTATGCAGGAACTGTTGAGCCACAGAGGCCTCAGGGCACGCGCGCAACGGGAGAGTTGCGGATTTTATCGGCGCGTTGCTAGGCGACAACTTGGAACGCTTGGATGGCACAACAGGAAGTACGAGTGACGTCATATTCCCACTCATCCCGTTGCTGCGCGGCGCTCGGTGTACACCTCCCCGCCCGCTAGGCTGTGACGTCACGTAACAGTAGGGCGTCTGTTGCTAGGCAGTGCGTGGGTAGACACACCTGACAACAATACCTGATATCTTTTGCCGAGCAGCAATGTGTTTTCTATGTGATCCGTGCTAAGCCTATATAAGGAGCAGCGAACACTATTCAGGCAGTCTCGGCATTCCAGATGAATGCCTGAGACAACTCCCAAGGCGACCATTGGTTCACCGAACTCATTTATTTAATCATTGTCTTCGGCTCTCTCATTTTCCAAATACTTGGAAGGAAGCAAAAGTAATAACTTTACCTAAACCCTGTAAAGACCCGAAATTCCCGCAAAATTTACGTCCGATCGGCCTCCTGTACACGACAGGAAAACTATTCGAAAAAGTAATTTTGAAATTACTGCAAAAACATATTGAAGAAAGAGGCCTGCTCAACGCAAGCCAGTTTGGTTTTCGTGCACGTCACAGCACGACATTGCAATGTATGAGGCTGGCGGACAACGTGACCCTTAATTTCAACAATGAAATGTCTACGGCTGCGGTGTTCTTGGGCATCGAAAAAGCCTTTGATACCACGTGGCACTCAGGATTGCTGTGTAAGTTATCAAAATTGGAATTCTCGAACAATTTGACCGAGCTTATTGGGTCCTTTCTTTCTCAACGTAAATTCAGTGTTTCGGTTGAAGGGGAACTGTCAGCGCCAAGGGAAATGCAAACAGGGTGCCACAAGGTTCAGTCCTTTCCCCTACTCTTTTCAATTTGTACAGAAATGATGCCCCCAAACACATGGTGTTCACCTGGCCCTCTTTGCGGAAGACACCTGTCTGTATGCGACAGATCGCAAGGAGGGATTTATTGTTAGAAAACTCCAGCGCGGTCTCAGCTCAATGGAGACCTGGTGTGAGCCCTGGAATATTAAAATTAATGAAGATAAGACTCAGGGGGTCTACTTCTCTCGTGGTCGTCGACCGCCTGAGTCTTGTCTCACTCTAAATGAACGAAATATTCCATTTGCAAATAGTGCCAAATTTCTAGGTGTAATCTTCGATAAGAGAGTTACATGGAGAGTTCACATAGAAATGATCGAAGCCAAGGCCTTCAGAACATTCATTAGAGTATATTCCCTATTCAGAAGTAAGCGATTGGGCGCTAACATTAAACTGACCCCCCACAAAGCTCTATCAGATCCGTAATGACTTATACTAGTCTTGCCTGGGAAATGCGGCAGACGCCCATCTAATGAAATTGCAGCTCCTGCAAAACAAGGTTCTCTGCGCACACCGGTCCACGATTTGCACATGGCATTCAAAATCCCGTACGTATATGACTGTATAACAAAATTATGCAGGAAACAAGCAGAAGTCATACAAAATCATGAAAATGAGAATGTTCGCAACATCGGACAAGGCGAAGCCCGACACAGAAAGTATAAGAGGCTTAAACTTGGCGGCGGTCAGGCATACGGCCGTTCAAGTGACTAGGCTGCCGTGGTAGCGAATGCTACTAGAAATAGGGCATAGTCTGCTGTACTGATCCTGGATTGACAGAGGCCTTGTATTTATAGTACATAGAAGTAGGAATTAAGATTAAATTTGTAAATATACTATGTAAATTCTGACAATGGACTTACTATTACGGACTATTGACCGGCAAATGACAGACCCGACCTCTCGTCAGACAGACTAACTGACCGTGAGTCTCAATGTGACTTGGACTTGAACTTCAGGCAGTCTGACAATGGACTTACTATACAGGATATGACTGAGAAATGGCAGACCCGACCTCTCGTCAGAGAGGGCGCCCCAAATGGACAGGACAGTAACTTTCCTGGGGCTCGACACCAAGACTTACTGACTGACTGACTGATTGTCAGTCGCAATGTGACTTTGACTTTGACTTGATTCAGGAGTGAGTCAGTTGATAGGCAGTGAGGAAGAATTCGTTGCAAGAGTGGGGCTGTGAAGAGAAGACTTTAGGTGTATTGGGAGTGTGTATGAGTAATTCAGTGACACTTGTATAGCTCCCGTGTTATACTGTAAATAAGTGAAGACTACTGAAGGCAGAGTGAAGAGATTAGTGTGTAGGGTTTGTAAATTGTGTAAACCCGCAACAGTTTTACAATTAATTGTAGTTATGACTAGTAGGTTGTTAATAAAACCAATTAACAATCAGAGCGGCGTCCACAGTAGACCAAAACACATTACAATATTATACATAAGTTACACATCGCTACTGTGTCTGGTGTACCACTGAAAATGAATGCTGATATGCGAATAAGGACATGAATGGCAAAAATAGACGTGCTGTGTGATAACATGAATTTATCGCGTTGAATTTGCAAATGTGAAGATGGAAATTCTTCGTATGTTTACTTGAAGAGACAAGTGGCATAGTATATGGATGTTCATGCACGTTTCTGAGCGATGCGTAACGTTTAAGCTCCGCCAGGCACCGCTCTCTGCCTATGACAACGCGGATATTTGAACATACTGCATAGCCCGTGTATACTTGAGTGAAGAATGACGGAGAAAAGGCACACATGGTTCTCGGTGAAAACCGTCATTGGCCCGCTACAATTCCAACGGCAACCACCACAATATACCGAAAGTCAGACACTGCTGTTGTCCTAACCAGGCCAGTAGAAAATAGTTGATTCGTACGCTGCATAATATTCGCCAGGGATTAAGATTACGCTTGGGTGGGAGGTGATTGTGAAAGATGGAGTGGAACTTAGTAAAATAGGCATATGCGCTCTCTATCCTGTGTCTCTGTGAATCTCCCCCGCCCCCCTTCAACTTTTGAATGCCTGAACCAGTCTTTGTGGAATGTCATACATACACATATATCATGACACCTGAGCCCATCTCTACGGTGTAATTCATAAATCCCACATATCAGACTGTGTGTTTATGTTTAGCCCCTTAAATCGTTGCTAGGCAACAAATTGAAGACGTTCCCGCGGCAACGAATAGTTGTTAGATGCGTCGTTTTTTATGCGGTCCGTGTCGTATCTAAGGAAAGCAGTCGATTGGTTTTTCCAGAACTTCCCTAAAGTAGGCTTATGCGATATCTACCCCGTTTTTTTATATACACGTATATATAAACGCCGTTGAAACGTATTTGTGTAGGGTTTTGTCCTCCGTCCGATATGGACTGGAGCGCAAACTCGACTTTTCTGCGAAGTGATTTCTATTTAAACCTACGTCAGATGACTGACAACAAACGATGATAAAAATACGAAGGACAAATTGCGGTTCGCACATGGTGCACTGCGAATAGAGATTATGTGTTTTTATGTGTCTGTAAGTCGGGTGAAGGGCGATACGTGACCGCATTTGCTCTGAAACTCATCTTCCATTTCATTCTTATCTGTATAGTATTGTCACCAAGCATAATCTTGAACACATTTCTCGGTGAGGACAGGGGGATTGCCCATTGCAGTGGCACGAGATCTAAAACGCATATGATCGTGGATAGCGTTAGACGAAGGTGCGTGATCAGCTTCACGTCCCGGCCGCTTTACGCCCTGGGAAAGGTCCCCTGTACACATTGGGTAGGAGGTTGTGTGCGCCCCACAACCGGCCTGAACGACGTGGAGAGGATAAAACTTTTACCCCTACCGGGACTCGAACTCCGACCGCTCGGCCGTCCATCTCGTCAGTCGCTGTTCTAGGAAGCGCATGATCCATTAAGGACGGTAATCGTAAATATCATTCATAACCAGAGTCCACAATTGTGTTGATCTATCCGCAAGGCGACCTTATTTCAGCGTTAAATTGAGTTGTCTTTATTGGCAGCAGAATAAATTGCATAACATAGTTTGTTTTGCTGGCATATCAAAACAAATACTGATAAGCTAGTGTCACAATGTAACGCAGTCTTGACAGATGCCTAAAGGAATAAAATACGAGTATTGTAACACTATCTGTAGTGCGTAACGTAGGTAAGGAACATGGGCGGACTCAAGATTTTTTCCAGGTGGACAGCCAGCGGCAGGGTAGTTGGTTGAGGCACTATTCTAAAAGCCGGAAGGTCGCGGGTTCGAGTCCCGATTAAGTTGATTTTTTTTTTCCAGTTTACCTAATCCTTCCAGCCGCACTATGGCGGGAACAGAAATGAGTAATAGGGGTGTAAAGGGCGGTCGACGCTTAAGGCTGACAACCTTACCGCTATCTGTGAGCCGATTGTCTAGAGAAGGCATGTCCAACGCGTCGATCGCGGGATGATTTTTGGTCGGTCTAGAAAACCAAAATTAACGGTCGTGGGAATTTGTTGCGTTGACCACGTGACACCTTCTATCCGCTAAAGTTGGCACTAACTTCGCCTACAAGCGGTGGTCGCTCGGTCGGTATAGTTCGCTTGCGGAATAAAACCATGGAGTTTGTCTTTGTTTTAAGTGATGCTAGTGTCGCGTTTACCCCAGAAGTTCGTGCTTTCTCCGTGTTGTTATTACAAATTGTACGAAATAAGAAGTACGAGATTGGGGTGGCTTGTAATGGCATGACGCTCATGCCATATATTTCGTGAAAATCGGTAAAATTAATCGAAATCTGAAATGACACACGTTGTAATCTCATAAGCCTACTTTATTTCAATCAGAAGGAAAGAAGATTAAAATTGAACAGAAAATAGTTATCACTTATGCTTTGTACTCGCGTATGGATTCGATTCCCGGCCTGGGAGCCGTCTCTTCTGACTTTTCGTGGTATTCCTTGGTATGTAAATAAATGCTGAACATCCCCCTTAGCCTTATAGAGCATGCAGTTGTCCTTTTTTTTCTGTAGAAAACTTAAATTTCAGCTACCATAAATCGCTTTCTTCTGTTCACCAGTTTAAATTATTTTTTTAAAAGAATGATTCTTCAGATTTCTTATTTAAATTATTTTACTTATTTCATATTATATAACACTCTATGTACTTACGAGTACAGTATTACGGATCATCTGGTGGACCGCCACGAACCACCAGTGATCCGCGGACCACCGTTTGAGAAACACTACTGTAGCGTATTTCGTATTAGGATACGATCGCCACATGCTTACCAGGATACGATCGCCTTGTGCCACATGCTTACCAGGATACGATCGCCTTCTGCCACATGCTTACCAGGATAAGATCGCCTTCTGCCACATGCTTACCACTTCGTCATTCATAATCATCCTCCCATTTGGCCATACGTGTTGCATCTGTTAAAAGACCTAATAACGAAAGAAGTGGTCGCCTACGCATGTGTTTCTTAAAGTAATTGGGATAAGAATTTCAGTCACGTTAAGTCTGAAGCTTCTAAATTACCGTGGACAAGCATGATTTTGCACATTCTTGTCAATACGTACAAAAGCTACATCGCTCTTACGACTTTTGCGTCTAGCTAGTGTTTATTACTGACGTAATTATTGCAGCGGTCAGAGCGCAGTCATTAAAGTGACTGACTACGCACTGGCCATCGGTGCTTCGGTTCCCATCACGGGGTTTTCGCCAGAACTTTCAAGACCGGTGTTCATCTTGTCATGATATGCATACCAAGTTTCATAAAGACTGGTTCAGCCATTCTAAAGATGATAAAGGAAGATACACAAACACAGAGTGCATAAAGATCGCAAAAGCCTACGTTAATTTTTCAAAATAAGGAAAGTATGCTAAAATCAAGAAGTTTTGGGAAAAGCTAATCGCCTACTTTTTTCTTTGATAGACACGGACCCCATAAAAATGATTCCTCCCACAGTTCTTGGTTGCCGCGGGAACGTCTCTACAGAGTTTTCACTTAGCAATCTGCATTCATGTATTATTTTCCGCGGAAACGTTTACCGGCCGTTCCCTAGCAACGGCCGTCTCCTCTCGTTACACAGTTCTGGCTTTGAGCCCTCATGTCACTATTAACATATGGAAGGAAAAAAGTCTACTTTCATTTTTTCGATTTTAACTAGCGTAAATGTGAAGGCACAATGAAATTTGCATGTGAATTGTCATCTCATGAGATTAGCAAGAGAGGATGAACATGATGGGAATTACATGCCTTGAGTTTGTTATGCGAAACACAGCCCATTGTTTGTTGCTGCAATTGTCCGTGATAGACATTTCTCATAAAAGAATACTATTATCACCTATTGGCTGTGCACTGGGCGATCTAGTTTTGTATGGCGGTGGAGGTGTTGTTATTTTTCCTCCTGAGCAAGCCCCAGAATGGCTCTGGAATTTGCCCAACCAAGTTTCAAATGGAATAAGGAGAGACACTTTTGCGGGCTCTAAAGTGGCACGAAATTGGAGCCACTATACACCTGCGTTTAATGTCGAAATCCAGAATATGTAGAAGTTAATTACATGCCTCCATGTTATGATGTTTAAAATATATGAGTGTTTTTAATGGTACTTTACGTTTTCTTGTGTAACAATACTGGGTGAAGGGTACAATATCTGTAATATGTTTATGTCATTTTGTTGTTTCTCTTCTTTGCAGGTTTCGTGAAGATCCGCTATGTGTTCGCAATACTTGGTTTTATACTAATGGCTATTGTGTATGGGTTGAAGGTCAATCTGAGTGTGGCAATTGTGGGCATGAGGAACCAAACTGCAGAGAAATCTGGTGCAGTGAATATAACTCATTCTGACTGCCCTGATCATGTGCGTGATGCCACAACAGCAAAGGTGAGTTTCCATAAAGGAGTTTTGAAAAAAAAAAAAGTTTGAGAAAGTCATGTACCCAACATGTTTACAAAACCGTTGTCTTCAGTAATGAGAACTCTTTAAACCATAAATATGCAACAACCTGGGTCAGCAAGATTTCAGTAGTCACACTTTGTGAAACAAAATAAACAAACAAGAAAAAGTGTAATGAAAGATCAGTAATATCTTCTTAACAAAGAGTACCTACAAATTTTAAGATTTTCGGCCAATATATATGTCATAAAATAATCTTACTTTAGATCAGTCCACTTTTATTAAATTTGATATTTAGAGTTATTGATAAAATATATTTATCAAAGTAAATTTTAATGATGAATGGATGACGTGGAATACTATTGGCAATGAAAGCTGAAATACATTTTATGTACATAGAAATATATTTATTTCGTTGTTTCCGGTTTATATGTGAGTGTCTTTCCCCATTAAGAACTAAGTGTGACACTTTTGTCTCTTAATGTTGGCCCTAAAATGGATTACCTTGTTAATAATTTATTATTGAAGAATATGCAGTGTTTCTTGCTACCATTCAGTCCAGAACTTTATCTTCTCATCTGCTGTCTGAAAAACATAAAAATTAGAATAAACAAAAGTATAATTTTGCCTGTGGTCTGTATTGGTGTGAAACTTGGTCTCTGACATTAAGGGAGGAATGTAGACTAAGGGTGTTTGAGAACAGGGTGTTAAGAAGTATATTCGAACCAAGGAGAGATAAAGTGACAGGAGGTTGGAAAAAACTGCATAATGAGGAGCTTCATAACTTGTACTCTTCTCCAAGTATAATGAGAATGATCAAGTCAAGGAGGATGAGGTGGGCAGGGAATGTAGCATGAATGGGGGAGAAAAGGAATGCATATGGGATATTGGTGGGAAAGCCAGAAGAAAAGAGATCACTGGGAAGACCAAGGTGTAGGTGGGTGNTGGATTGATTTGGCTCAGGATATGGAGCAGTGGAGGGCTCTTGTGAACACGGTAACGAAACTTCGGGTTCCATAAAATGATGGGAAGTTCTTGAGTAATTGCAGAATTGGCTTCTCAAGAAGGGCTCAGCTCCGTAAGTAAGCAACAGGTGGAATGAGACTTGGCAAGGGAAACCGAAGTACTCGGATGAAACCTGCCCCTGTGCCACTTTGTACGCCACATGACCTGACCTGGGCTCGAACACGGGCCGCCGCTAGGTCTAACCGACGACTGACTGCCTGAGCTATGACACGGTCTTAACTGTTACTAACTTGTATTAATTTGATGTTCAAACAACAGTTTTAATTAGCGTAAATAGATAATTATAGTGAAAATAGGCTTCCCCTAGTATTTTTAAGTGAGGGGGCTGCAGTTTTCCAAAGGGGAAGCTACAGTACTTTCATACAAATTTGAGCTTAATCCATTTAAGGAAACTGTATCAGTCTTCCTACAGTATTCAGTGTATAAGTGTATGAACGTAAAGCTATCCCTGTAACAGGCCGTGGAGGCCCATAAGGTTGTGAGACGTCGAGGCTCCCACATTTTGTAGACAGTCGGTTCACAGATGGCGGTAAGGTTGTCAGCCATACGCACCGGCCGCCCTTTACCCCCAGGAAAATTCCTGATACTCATTTCTGTTAGAGGCTGAGTCGGTCCCAGGGCCATGGTGCAGCTGGAAGGAATAGGTCAATTGAAAAATCCAATGACCTCATCGAGAATCGAACCCACGACCTTGCTGATAGTATAATAGTGCCTCAACGTACTACGCTACCGCGTACCCACCATATTTTTAAGATTTACATCAAACTTTTTTTTTTTACATTTTATGACAAATTTATTTTATAATATGCAATCTAAGTTACAAAATAAAATTATATTGCCTAAAAACACACGTGAAGTCGATTATGTAACTTCAAATGAACATATTNACATTTTTTGTCATTGGTAAGTGCCTGAACGAGCTGCAGTCTGTATGGTTTCAAATGTAGACGTACTGTTAGCACACGCCATACAGTGGATTGAGGGATCGCAAGCTCACGGCTAGCTCGATTTGTTGACTTCCGCGGGCTCCTCTCAAACGCAGCACGATTCTCGCCACTTCTTCCTCTGAGACTCGTGGTCGTCCTGGACTTTTTCCTTTACACAGACACCCACTCTCTTGAAACTGTCGAAACCACCGTCGAATGTTCCTAGGACAGGGCGGATTAATGCCGAATCGCCTTCGAAAAGCACGCTGCACCGTGACAATCGAATTTGTTTTCGCGAACTCGAGAACGCAGAACGCCTTTTGCTGAGGACTCGCCATTCCGAGGGTAAACGAACAACTGAACGTTGCCGGAAGAACGACGCGACTTCAGCGCCCCTGTGGCAGCCATTCACAACTTAGATAACTCCTCTTTCAAATGGTCACTGACTCATTCCATGACGATGCTTGAGAACTGAAGCAATGCGTCATGAAATCGGTTCATTCTTTTTGAATAACCCTGTATATTCATATACAGTATAGTCAATAGAATGTAATGCAGATGGAAACATTTAATGGAAAGTGTGTTCCACCTAGAACTCCTTGTTAGATACAATATGGTAAGTAAAGGGTGGAAAATAGTGTTTCAGAACATGCAGATCAAATAATAATTTTGTTTTGTTTAGACATTATGAACAAAGCCGGTTACTCTGAGAAGATACTTCAATATCCTAGCGGTTTTTCAGATATACGAGGGTAAGTCAATAAGTAAGTTACAAATGGATATGGAACAAACAAATAAAGAGTACTGCTTTGAAAAATGCTTTTATTTCTCAACATAATCTCCCTGTACACTGAGGCACTTGTTCCATCATTTCACAAGCCCCTGAAAACCAGCAGCATAAAATTCTTTGGGCTGCTGTCAGAACCAGGCGGTGACTTCCCTTTCTACAGCTTCATTGTCGGTAAAATGTTTAGCTGAAGATAATGTTTAAGAAGGCCGAACAAATGGAAGTCGCTTGAAGCAAGGTCGGGGCTATAAGGAGGATGCTCGAGGACTTCCCACTTGAAATTTCGCAGCATCTCATTTGTCTTGTCGGCAGTATAGGGACGCGCATTGTCATTCAAGAGCAACATGCCTTTGGTAAGGATTCCTGGTCGCTTCCATTGAATGGCCTTACGAAGTTTCCTGAGGATGTTACAGTAGGAGTCGGCATTTACGGTTTGTCCTTCATGCTGGAATGCGGTGAGCAGTATGCCTTTGTGATCCCAGTCACCGCCTGGTTCCAACAGCAGCCCAAAGAATTTTATTCTGCTTGTTTTCAGGGTCTTGTGAAATGATGGAACAAGTGCCTCAATGTACAGGGAGATTATGTTGAGAAATAAAAGCATTTTTCAAATCAGTACTCATTTGTTTAAGTTCTATGTCCATTTGTAACTTATTGACTTACCTATGTACACATATGAAACCTGAATTTACCAGTCTCATTCCCTACTCATTTTATAAGAAAAAAATTATGATCTAGAAGAACTCAGCGTGATACTCCATCTGTTATGGGATCGAGGTTACAACATTGCCAGTTAGTTATGTAGACAATTATGTCAACATTAGAAGGTTGTTAGATTCTGTCTTCAGCTTACCTCCAGTACTCATATGCCAGTGTGACATTCAAACGTACTTACACATGACTTTTTTTTCTACATAAGATTGCCTATGCAAGGTACAGGGAGGTTCTTACCTTTGTTGGCTGATTCATGGTTGCCAGTGCACCACTGGCTGCAAGGTGCATAGTAATTTTGCCAATGAATCAGCATGCCTTATGGCTGATAACATTTGGAATTAAGGGAAGTTAATAACTTTGTGGACTGATGGCTTTATGTTTCATGGCGATTTGTGAGCATTTGGGCACTTATCAGCACCATTGGCCGTTTGTTCTCAGTTACAATTAGTGAGCAATGTTTTCCATCAGGGTGTTGTATACTTTAGAGTAATGTATATTTTTGTATGACACCTATGTGAAATGCAGATCTGCTAGAAAGTGTCGTTGATAATTTTGATGTAAAGTAAATTTCATATGAAAGAGTTCCCAGCAGACAGACAGTTCACAGTTTGTTAAATAAACTTAGATCCACTTATCTCTTAATGGTCAAGAAACGAAAACATAAGCGGGGAGCGCTTACTGAAGAGAGGTTATGATATAGGATCCAGACTTGAACATAAACATAGAAAATGACTGAAACATCTAGGTCAAGAGACTGGAATTGTCAAAGTCTAGTGCATGAAGGGCAAAACAATTGCTGAGCCTTAGACCCAATGAAACAACAGTAATCCATACCTTGCATCCACACGATCCAGGTAGCAGGGTTAATTTTTGCATTTGGTTTCTACAGCCATTGAAGGTGATATTGATCTGCAGTTGACAGGGACAGCATTTTCAGATCTTTGAATTGTAACTACATAATTCTGAACATTATTGGCCAATAGGCATATTGATTCATTGGCAAAATTCATATGCACCTCACAGCTGGGGGTGCACTGGTTGCTATGAAGCACAGAGCTGTGAACTGGTCAGGAAAGGTAAGAACCTCCTTGTATATTGTACCCTGACTCATAGAGTAGCAGATGGGCTTGAATATTATAGTTGAGGATTTTTTTAATGCAGATGACCTTGAGAAAATTGTTTTTAAAGGAATTTTAGATGAACAGATATAACTAATTATAACCTGAAAAATGAAGCTATTAGCAGTCATACAGCCATATAAATATAGGGTGTTATTCATGAAACATGCAGAATCGTTCTGTTGATGAAAAATGTGAAAACTGTCAATATCATACTTCATGATATTTGCTTCAGGTTCACTGTTCCATTTCTGTCTTCCCTTCATTTCAGGATGGCCCTTTTGAGTGGGGAGAAGAAGTAAAAGGTGTCATCTTAAGCTCATACTTCTTTGGGTATCTGGTGAGCCAAGTGCCTGGTGGACGTGCAGCAGAAGTGTTTAGTGCTAAATGGATTCTGTTTGCTTCAGTAGCTCTAAATATTATCCCTACACTTCTCACACCTCCAGCTGCAATGATACATTGGTCAGTTCTTGTTGTGTTGAGAATAATTGAAGGAGTTGGTGGTGTAAGTAATGCATTAATGTACATTCATTTATTTCCTTTATTTTCCATATATCCATGCACGTAACAAACATAGGATGTGGAAATAGTCCCTTTGAGAATAGATGTGTCAAGATACATACGATGCATGAGTTACATAATTAAAATTGTGCAATTCGTCTGTTCAATCATTCCTCCTCATATTAATAAATGTTTGCATTCTTTTAATATGTGTTTATATTTTTGGTATGGGACAGGCCAAGGTTTTTGGTAACCCCTTCCCCCCAGCTTCAAATACCCATTGGATTCATTTGATTTTAGATATACTTTTTGTTAATTTTACGTCAGCTATGGAAACCTCACAGTGATGGGGTAGCTAAACTTCGAGATAATGTATAGTTCACATTGCAGTACCTATTTAGCAGTAATTATAACTAATTATAGGATCATTTAAAAACAGTATACAGTGGCTTTCCCATCGTTTTTACATCTGAGATCTTTCATATTCTGAGTTGTTGCTGTGACTTTCCTGTATTTTATGGAATATATTGTACAAAGGTCTGAATGGCCCCCAAATCAGAAATAGAAAAGTAGAGAATTACTGTATTTAAATAGAAGGAAGGACTGAAATTTATGATATGTTGCTGTCATTAAGTAACCATTGTTTATAAACACTAGTGGAATTCATGTTGAAAATTTAATGACAAATTTTGATATTTCAAATCCACAGCTACAGTTCCCAGAGATAATATGGGAATATCTTCAATAAAGATGATAGGTGAAACATAACTGTGCTACATGTTTTGACCACATAATTATGTCATCATCAGGCACTTATGAACATAACTCAAATGATTAAATGTTGATTATAATATGGATCCGTATTCTTGCAACTGATGGCTGCTTTGCTAGCAAATATATATTTATATAGTAGGTATATATCTATGATTTAGTATACAATTCCTTATTATGATTATGATTTAAAACATAAAGGTAAGGATAAAATAAAAATATGAAAAATGTTAAAAATATAAATGGCAAAAAAATTAATTGTATATTGTATCTATAACTCAGGTTAGATGCTGTGCTTGGTCACGTGTAGTCTTCAGTTGATGTGTGTTGGTATGCTGGAAGGGGGGGGGGGGTGTTATTTCTCGCTTTTCATGCCGATCATGTATAGTACTGAATGATATAAAATCTGGTTATTTCTTGCACTTCCCACTGTTATCCTAGATAATCATGGAAGCTTAGGCGTTTTAGGAACGTATGTTTGAATGTTGCCCCCTGTTGATGTTTATGTAGTTACACAGACTCTAATTATATGGTCAAAACATGTAGCACAGTTACGTTTGTATTGAATGCATAAGATACATACAAACACCTATTGTCTTTATTGAAAATATTCCCATATTACTTTTTGCGCTGATGGTTGTAATATAAGCAATTAAATATTATGTGTATATACACAACAGGATGCAGTCTATAAAGTTACCAAAGACAACCCTTCCCTTGATCAACTATTTTAAATTATAATTTCATGAAATATGCATGCTGTGAACTTAAATATAGAATAAGCTATTCTCTTATCCACTCACACAGTGGTCTGTGCTACACACATCCCACTGTTGTTTATTACTTCCATCTTCTGTTTCTTTCTCTAATTATTAGTAACTCTGCAACACAACAACAAACCAACAAAAATTATGACAGATGATTACATATAGATATACAAAGATGAAGACGTTTACAATATTTAATTTTCTGTTTCAGTATGAAAATAATTACGTTCAATATGCATAGAAGAAATCTTTGTATTATGAACTCTAAGAAACAAATTTAATTGTGGTTCTAGTGTAAGTATTTTTGTTTCAGGGATTTTCATTTCCTGCATTGCATGTAATGATTTCCAGATGGTCACCGGTTGAGGAACGTAGTCTGATATCTTCAATTGTTTATGCAGGTGAGAATATAAAATTTTGCTCCCTTGTTCTGTTGCCACATGATTTATTTATTATGTTCATGATGACAAGAGTATCAGAAAATTCATCATACATCTTAGTTAAGAATACAGGGGGGTTTGTGTTTATTTCAAGACATTATCCAGAGTCTGCTGAGGATAGTCTTGAAAATCAGTCCTTTCAAAATAGCTTGATTTTATTAATGCTTAATTCTGGATAAAAACTTTATAGCCTAAGATAGTGGTTGTGTATGAAGTATTTGAAAAACCTAAAGGACCATTTCTCATAATAATCTACCAGAACATAGTGCCTCTGTATATTGTTTTTCATTTATCGCTGTTGGGATAATGCCTTGAGATAAATCAGGTTTGTTCAGTTCCTCTCACTGTTACAACATTTCTATATAAGCTAAAAATTATCTTAACTATCATAAATGAAAAATAGGAATAGTAAATAACATAGAACCATACATAAGCTTACATTTTTAATCTGAAGCAGGAGACAGGATGATCCTCTGAAATGCTAGTAACCACTCACCAAAATACACAGTGTCTTAACCCAGAATGCAATCTAAATCTTCAGTTTGTTTGCTACATTTTAACAGGCACCGCAGTTGGTACTGTTCTGTCCCTTCTGTTCACTGGACTTATAGTTCAGTATATTAACTGGGAAGCAGTATTCTACATCATGGGAGGTTTATCCAGCATCTGGTGTGTGCTGTGGTGGTTACTAATGACAGACAGCCCACGAATAAACCCTTACATCTCAGAAGAAGAACGAGATTATATTGCCAGCTCTCTTGGTGAAGATAAAGAAGAAGTAACACAAAAGGTGAATGCCCTATTTTGTTTCCAGGCTTAGCAACAGTGGAGTGTATTCACTAGAAATTTTGAAGGATTATCACCTATCAGTCAGAGGTCAAAACTAATTTGAGCTGTTATATACAGCTGGAACATGTAGCTCTGTTCTTTCCTATTTTGAAGTGTATATCCAATGAAGTCATTACAGCAATTCTCATTTCATTAAATAATGGAATACTTTTAATAAGTATTACATTTAAAAAGATAGAAATAAGTAACTTCAATTATGATTTTATTTTGACTGACTGCTATATTATTGTATTGTACATACATGCATCTTAATGAGTTCTTGGTTAGTTGATTCTTGCAAGATTCATTTAAATCTCTACATACATTATTCAGGTAATTTCAAATATTCCTAAAGCAGATGATGTCAAGTTCACAGACATTTATATGAAGTTCAAACATATAGGATACCATTTGCCTTCTCTCATAAGTAATTTATCAGGGCTGGAGTTTGGAAGTAGATATGAAAATACAGATACAAAGAAAGAATAACTTAATTTCCACTCAGTAGTGCATGAAGTTAAAAGAAATGATTAGAATCATGGAAGATTCACGTGAGTCTCATAATTGTCATGGTGGCAGTGGTATTTTGATGAGGAAACAGTCTCTGGTTATAAATTTATGAAAATCTGTGTTGTCCCTGATATCTGTAGTGTAATGTGTAATCTTGAGAAGATATCATCTGATTTTAGGAAGAAGCTTAAGACCATGGTTATTAAATTTTGTTTCTGTAAGTGACCAACTGGTGATGTGTGTGAGGGATTTTGCTGATTTATGTAAGCAGGATTCAATATATATGATCATCAGTTTACCAGTAGTAAATGTATACATTAAATCCTATACACTGTAAGTCCCTAGAGAGTGAACATGACAGTAAAAACGTTGAGTCCTGGTATGATGCAATGTAATAAGCTTTGGAATGAAACCATAACTACCAAAAACTTATTGAATATTTCAATGTAATGTGATCTCACATATTAATATAATGTCTGCTAGATCTCTGTTCAAGAACTGATAGATTAGTATAGTTAGAACGGCATATAACAAAGACTTCTCAAAATTATATGCATGTAGCCAAATTTTTAAGAGTTCAGGTGGTACTGTGTTATGTTGAGTTTCATAGCATTACAGTATGGTCCTAGGGGATTGGCAAAGAAGACAGTAGCTGTAAGTGGATCAAAAACTGTTTCAGATGTGTGCTGTTAGAACAAGGACATTTCTTGTATCTTTTAAAATAAATAAGAAACATAAACTCTGAGGTTTTCACAATAGCAGTTGTTGAAACTGTGCCTTCTGGGTTGTGACAGCATAGTCTTGTAGGTAGATATCACAGTTTGAGGAACATGTTATTCCTGTCATTAAGGTTAAAGTGTGTAGAATGAAGAATTGACTGGGCTATATTGGTCAGAGTGCAAGGTTTTGATCACTCAGATCTGTGGAGGGGGACAGGAAATAGAACCAAGTTCAGGCAAGTAGTAACAGTGGATAGGAAAATCGGCCTTTTCAGGATCACAGTACAAGTATTATCAATAGTGTTACAAGCCAGAAGATCACAGTCTGAAGAAATACAAAGTTTACAATAGAGGGATTACATTGTCTATGTAGGATAATTAAGGAAATTATAATACAGAACAAAGAAATATATTCAGGATGGCAGGGTTATGTGTATTTTGTGGTGTGAAGTTAAACTAAGGAAATTGTAGAGCTGATTCAAGAATCTTTCTAATATATCATGATTTTCAGAAATCATCAGTGCCATGGAAACATGTGTGGACATCACTTCCCTTCTATGCCATCCTACTGTCTCACATGTTCAGCAATTGTGGATGGTACATGCTCTTAATAGAGACACCCATTTACTATGACCAAGTCCTTAAACTTCCAATATACAAGGTACAGTTTAGTTATACTTTCATGGTATTATTTCTGTACACACATGTGTTAGGATACATTGAATGATAATTAAATCATTTGTTTGTTTTTGAGAAATATTTTTATTGAAACTGTTGTTTTTTAAGTATCAAAAGTTTTTGACCTGCTATAAAAATATTGTTTGTGTGTGTCTGTGGGGGTGGTTGTAAATATGCTTAAGTGCACCTGCTTGCATGGAAATGTGTACGAAAATATTTTAATAATACACACAGGACAAATTGTCGGGTGTAGGAACACCATAAGACAGCCATTAGAGAAAAATGAAATCGCACCCTATTAACTTGTAGTTTTTCATACTACCAGAATGGTGAGCCATACCCCTGAGAATTCTAGGCGTCAGTGAGATTTCAGCTGATTATAAAATGCAGAGGTTACCATGAAAAGCCAGGCTTCAGAAGGTTTTTCTCAAGGCCATATATATATTGTATATACATACACCAATGTAACATGTTTTGTCTCTCAAGATGCCGTTCTGATTGTTAATTGGTTTATTTAACAACCTACAAAACATAACTACAATTAATTATAACACAGTTGAGGGTTTACATGTTTTACAAACCCTAATCATAAATCTCTTCACACTATCTTCAATAGTCTTCACTTATTCACAGTACAACATGGCAACTGCTAGACTTCCATCTGGCTTCAGGATCCTCACTCTTTCACTCCTGATCACACACTCCCCTCACATACTGCTCAGCCGGCTTTTTATACCGTTGCCTGTTACCTCGTGTTAACAGCGGTGTCCCGTGTTATGTCACAGTGGAAAGTGCTGTTATGTCACCGTGGGGGAGGGGGGCGGCATGTTGACTGGCCTGTCACTGTAGCAGCGCCATTGCTGGCGGGGGAGGGGGTGTCCTGCATAGCGCAAATGTGTCACAATATATAAGTATATATATATATACTTTTTTGTAGAAGGGATGTGGAGTTAAATACCTTCGTAAAATTTCTGAGGTGGTACATTGTTTCGTTGTTGACATCATCACTGCTGCTGTTTTGATTTTCATCTGCTGCACTTCCTTACAGTAGCACAGGAGAGAGAAAATTTAATGTTTCAGAATATTTAATTGGCCTGCAGGCTGTTTTTTGAGGTGCAAGGATCTCATTATGGTGACATTAATTGTTGTCTTCTGGGACCATACACAGTGTCATATCCCAGAAGATAGCAGTATTCATAGTTTTTGTTTGTTTTACAATTTAGTTAAGACACTCAAAGCGTGCTTAATTAGGGGGAATGCGTAATCATTGTGCATATATTCGTTACTACATGTAATACTTCAAGTTCAAATATTGTGTATGTTGCAGATTACCATCTATTCTTCATTCCCATTCTTCACACTCTGGCTCTACTCTTTAGCACTAAGTGCATACCAGAGTAAACTAATTAGCAGGAAGGTAATTACTATTACAACAGCCAGAAAAATTTCTACATTTTTAGGTAAGTTCCACTGCCTTACTGGTTCTTAGCTACATATTAATTTATGATGTTGCTCATCAATGTAACCTAGAAATTTATTTCTAAATTTATGCAAAAAAAAATGTGTTGCTTATGTGGGGCCACGAAGTGCATGTACAGTTGTTTGTGTAAGCCCAGGTATAACTAGTGTTTCATCACACATTGATGTTTACATTTAATTGTATTTCTAAGATTGTGGCAAGTCACTGTAAGTCAGAATGTAACATCAAAACTCTTTCAACATTTATCACAGCTCAGGGTGAAGGGTTCTGGATTTTGTCCAGACTCTAGAATTATACTCCTATTACAGACTGTCATCAGAGGAATGCACTTGAGTTGTGTCATTGAACTCTTTTCCTTCTATAGATATTTCAGAATAGACTATGTTTATGTACAAATTCATTCACACTATTTTATAACACACTGTTTTATTGAAATGTTTAAGATAATTATATAGAATGCTGTATCTGAACCTATTTTAAACAAGTGGGATATTTTTTATAAGGCACAAAACATATTCGCTGTCCAAATTCCAGTTAATGTATTTTCTTGAATAAGTGTTATAAATATGTTTCAGCATCTGCAATACCAGCTATATGCCTTGTGGCTATAAATTTCTTGCATTGTCAGGAGGGCTTGATTTTTGCATTGATGGCTGTTGGCACAACTTTGATGGGTGGCATGTTCTCTGGATTTCTTAGCAATCACATTGACATTGCTCCTCGATTTGCAGGTAATAAGCTTGCAGGTACTCAATTAGCACGTACATCAACCCATTGGCTTATACAGGCGTTGAATTATTATCTGCATGGAGACTGTATTTACTCATATTTTACATGATACAAATAAACTATAGAGGATCATATAATGAGGTTTTAGTCTGTTGTTCGTAAGGATGAAGAGGCTTTTCTGTGAGAGAATACAGTTTAATGTATGTTCCTTTTGATCATCTCCAAAAGAGGGGTAACTATATTTATAGGTTTTGAAAAGTAAACACTAATACCCCTAAAGAAATATGAAAAGAAATAATAAACAAATTTTTGTCAACATATATGGAATTGCTATTGAAGTGGATTTTATAATTTCTATTTCATTTATTCACAGAATGCAAATGCAAGAGTACCTAAGTTCTGTAATGTTCAACCATATAAGGAGACTGTATACTTTTTAGAACAGAACTGTAATAGTTTGATGTGTGATATTTTTATCTTCATTCCTTATATCCTCCTCCTCCTAATCATCATCAGCATCATCAAGTGGATTATCATGAGTTTAAATTAATACATAAATTAGTAATGTTTAACAAATTTCATTAGCAATCATAGCGTCTGACTTTGCTGCTGCTGTCAAGAACCCAGGCAAGTTATATGGAGAGATGTTGATTATGCAAGTGAATACAATAATTGCCATTCTAGAACAACTTACAGGGAATGACTTATTAATTAAGGGAATGTCTGGAGAGAATTTATAATTGATTTTGCACGTTCTGCATGTAATCGGTAAATGTTGAATGTTCACTAGGGTTACGATGAATATTTTAGATTGAAGATCTTCGACATGATTTTGTTGAACTTCTTTATATATGGATATGCTATGTACTTGTTTTGATAATAATCAGAATGCTATGTACTTGTTTTTGATAATAATCAGAAAAGGTCTTCCAAATCTTTATAATTTAATTAAGATTTTCAAATAAACTAAGTATGCATCACATATTTACATCTAAATTTTGGTCACACTCACAGAAGCTGTTCACCATTTTATCATATACTGTAAAGTTTTATACAGACTGGGAAGACAGGTTTGTTCAGGTTAATGCTAGAAAATCATTGCCATGGTAACTTCCAAGAGTGAAGCAAGTCTTACTGCAGAACTCTAATTCTCTCTTATATGTAGTATGTATGAGAGTCCTGTGATGATGACTAAAGTCATTTTAGAGATTTTGATGGATTTACACGTGTTTTAGCCCCATAGCACATGAACAGGTGGACAGATTTTATTCACATTTCAGTATTTATTAATGTCCATCACATGTTGGTGCCTAGTGACTATCAATATTCTAGCTCCAAACATGGGCTCCTCCAGATATGCCTCAAAAACAAAATGTAAGTTTTCTCAAACACAGGTTCTAATGATTTTGATTAAATTTCGGCAATTTATAGAGCACATTTTCCTAAATTAAACTGCACAAACGGTATCTTCAGGAAAATAATGGTGTGCACAATAGAGCCCCAAATGCAAACTGGCAGTTTTGTTGAAACGTGCTTTACCAGGGAGACAGATTTTGTTGCTATTCAGTATTCATTAATTAATGGTTTGCCAAGCAACAGTTAATTTTGTTATGTAGGGAACTTAGTTAAGGCCAGGTGTATGTGAAGTGTCTTCTATTTCTCGGCACTGATTCACCCCACACCCCAATGTCAGGATGACATTAGCTTTTAGCTGTGTGCTCATACACCTGTCTGTGTTCCTCTACACCCTCGGTTTCAGTTGGCAGAGAACACTTACGTTTTTATTGGACAGTACATTTAATACAATGGATTTGTTATCTCTTTAAGGAACTTTGATGGGAATCACAAATACTATTGCGACTATACCAGGAATCATTGTACCAATCATTGTTGGGCAGCTCACCAAAACAAATGTATGTATGCTTGGTTAATTTGTATTAAATTGTCATAATGTAATTTACATTGTCAGTGTGATTACAGGTACAATTATTCCTCATCAAGTGAATGGGTGTATAAAAAACGCTTAATTTATGTGAGGAAGTAAATATATTTCTATCAATTAACCTTACTTGATGACATTTTTTATCTGAACAACTTAACTGGATGAGAAATTTTTTCATGTCATGGGTATATGCCAGTGAGCTTATGGAAAGCTGAAGATAACCATATTACACAGTGTGCTGTTTCATGTCAACGATAGTAACCAACTGACCATTTGCAGTTGCTTCCGATGATGACAAAAAGTGTCATTTGGCCTTTAACAGTTAATCTTGAAAAAATTCACAACTGCTATGCTGAAGGTGGAATGGTCAAATTTGATAATGCTGACTGAAAATTAGTAGGAATTTTTATAACTCTTCATTCTTGTTTACCGCTGCTGTAATATTTTAATTTATACTTAATTTAAAATAATTCTTGTAGCACACAAGGGAGCAATGGAGTATCATCCTTAATTCTGCGGCAGCATTCCTGGCTGCAGAAGCAGTAGTATACACAGTGTTTGGCAGTGGACAAGAGCAATTCTGGAACAATCCAGATGTTTCAAAAGATGAAACAAAAGATGCAACTGAAGATGTGGATGAGGACACAAAAATTTAATGGTGCTTGTTATGGACTTTTATGTATTTTGTAAAGTGTGTTTTATTTATTTTTTAATATTCAGTGATTAGGGGTAGGTATGTATTTCCAGAAATGTTAGAATTTATTTAAAATGTGTATGGGGAATGTTCTAAAAATTAACCCATGTGAATGTACAAAAAAAGCTAGGATGAACTAGACAGACAAAAAATAAAGAAGTCTATCACCATCATTTCCTATCATCCTTTGTTCTGTGTCTTTCAAGAGTTTTATGTAGTCAGTTGTTTTAAAATGACAGGATTTGTACATACAAACACATGGAAAAGTAAATTTAATTTAGTGCTTATAGCACAGTGTTGAAAGTTTGCTGGGCAGTTTACCTTTGTCACATTACAGAATTGTGAACAATCGATTTGTGCATTGCTGTTTTACCTGCAATTTTTTAGTGTTGTATGCAGATGTGTTCAATACATTACAGTTCTCTCTTTCTTTCATAGTATGCACATATTTTGGTTGCATTTTGGTGATACTGCAAATGGACATAAACATGTACAGTACTGTAATGGTTGTTACCTATGTTTGGACACAGTACAATGTATTCTCTGCAGGCAACCATATGGAACAAAGATCCTGTGTGCTGAGTGAAGTGTCAGAGTACATTGCTCATATGGACCACAGATTTATAGGTTGCACAATTTAATACCCGTCATGAAATCTGTAACATATTTATGCCTAACTAATGTTGCATACTGGCTTACAGTGGGAAGGGGGGGGGAACTATAAGTGATAAGGTAACATGGAAGACAGAATTATATGTGTATTATTTCTGGTAGTTTGTCATAAATATATAGTGCTTTTTCTTCTTCTTGTGAATGCAGCAGAGAAGTTGTCTTGACTTCATAATAGGTGGCTGTAATGGTGCCCAGGAAGTAGTTCCTACTTTGAATTTTATGTACTCTGTGCTACTTTTATAGGGCATTTAATCTAGTCAGTGTTAAGCATGGAATCTTACGTTTTATTATTTATCCTGTACTAAATATAATAACAAATACCAGAATGAGGGAACTTTTCAAAACAATTGACATTTACATTTATCTTGGTGTGGAATTGTTTGCAATACCAGGCATACCTGATAGGCATCCTGTATGGAATTCTCAGTTTATGACAGCCATCAGAGATGATGTTTCTTTCAAGAAGAGAGTTTGAAAATAAAAAGGCTTAATTTTACTGCACACAGTGATAAGAGTTTTGCAGAGCCTTTACTTGTTATACTGGAGAATGCATTATGCCAGTGTCCAGGGGAAACTGCCAGTACAGGGCTGGAGAATAGATGAGAAAATTGTTTGGCTATAAGAGAAGAGAATTTCAATCTCTGGGGTTTTCAGGGCTGCATTAGTAAATCTTGCCACTGCCAGCAAATTATCAAGAAGAGGTGATGTAATCATACAAATACAGTAGAATGCCAATTATCTTAATTAATTATTGTTGGGATAATTGAAAACTCGGTTAATTGGATTAAATTTTTATCCACAAAATAAACACTTATAATGTACGGTACTAGTATAGTAATAAAAACTAAACTTTTAAAGCAGGTGAAACATGAACAGTTAATGAATATAATAAGTTCACATTTTCAAACACTTTACATTTGAGAAAGTCCAACAGTGATGTTTGTTTAGCATATGTATTCCTTGGTTGTGATGATTCACTTAATTGACAATTTGGACACCAGCATTCTACTGTAGTTGTTTAACTTTACCCTATGCAGGGTAAAGTTGTCCTTCTGCTTAATTAAGCACAAGGTCATAGAAATATAGGTATGCATAAGTATTTTATTACAAGCCATTTTAAGAGAGTAACACATGCTCTTGTCAAAGAGGATATTATATAAGGACTATGACTGCAAGGGTTCAGTTTCCTCACCCCCCTCAAAAAACTGGTCATGATCCTCAAGGGGCTTGGCACCAAGACAAACTCATTGGCAGTAAACCCTTTGTTGTAACAAAACTCTGGCTATTACGAGGCTGTGACCTCAAGAATGGTAAGCTTCTGTTGCTGTAACAGTGTGATTAATTTCCTATGTAAATACATAGCCAGCCAAACTAGGCATTGACTTAAATATAGTTGTGTTGTGACGGTTTTAATAAAGAAATTGTTTATTATAACACAACAAGATGCATGAAAAGGAAAACGTGTATGAAGGTTTTTAATTTCTTTCTTTCTTTTCAGGGAAGTTAAAATAATCTTAAACATATGAAATTCTTTGATAGCTTTAACATTGATGAACTTGTTAAAGAATATGGGCACAAAGTTTTATGTTTATCATATCATTGCCATTTCAATTCCACTGAACTGATCTGAACTGAGATTTAGAGATATTACAAGAGCAACATTGATCAAAATGAGTTTGGAATGGTAGCTGTGAAAAAGAAAGAGGAATTGTTGAAGAACGTTTGTCAGTTTGCTTTTGTTCACTAGCAACAAAGCAAAGGCTTGGAGTGTCACATACAATTATTACTACGGCTAATCATTTGGAATTTTGCTATACAGTGTAACAGTGGTATAGGTATACTTTCCCAGTCTTCAGGTAACTCCAGTAGTGGAAAAATATGTGCCACTTAGAAGCTGATGAATAACAGCTGTAAAGCAAAACCTCTATCAAAAATAGGGGTGCTGCGGCTGCTCATATTGTTAGTCTCAAAAAGACCTCAGATGGAGAAAGTGATTCAGATGACTGGCCAGTCCCACTTGAATAAACATTGGGAATATTAATGGATTTATAAATTTGGATTGATTCATGTTGATATTCACTGCAGTCATAAATTAATTGCAGTTTGTTGTGCATTTGTATTACATTTATACATATTCCTGAGAACATGGCACATTGCATACAACAGTTCTGATATGCTGCATTTGAAGTTTCAGAATGACAACTAAATTCTTCCTACCCATTTTCCTTTTTCTCCTTTATAACAGTTGTAGTCACGTTTATTGCCATATATTTACGGGTCTTTATGTGGTTATGTACTTCATAGTTTCATTTCCTTGCTTACAGTAGGAGAAACAGACATTTTCTCTAATAAATGGTAGGTCTTTCACATGACACAGTAAAGTTTTAAACTCTTCAGTGAATGTTATTAGATACTGAGTCTTGAAATGTAATTTATGTAGGTGTTTGGCTCAGCACTTGGCCTGCATTGGGGTGTGCCTGGCCCAAATCTCAACCTGAACCACATGAAGTAGTTCACACGAGGATTGTCTTCCATGGTGTAATGCTGCATTGTTTGATACACAGCATTTTGGAGGAGCTTCCTATCTTACTTTCACAGTAGAAGGGTGGCATCACATGCCACAAGTTAGTAAACTTTCATAATCGCTGCTGTGAGAACCTCAGATTTCAGAATCTTTTCATAGGTTGTTAGCCACAACTGAGCATATGAAGAATAAAATGCTTAAAGGTGTTGCTTGCAGTACCTGCCAGCCCTGTCACATACTTGCAAGGTGTGAATTCCAAAAATGGTACAAAATGTACAAACCTGTAAACCGTTACTTCCCATATATTTACTGTCAGTGGTGAAATTGATTTCTATCTTTCATAACATTACCCTACAGGGATGTGAACTGGCACTATTTTTTAATGCCAATATCTACCTCCACCCCTTCAGTGCATTTCATTTTCATTAATTTATGTATTCTGTACCTAGAAAACTCTAGCTTGCTCCTATGCATGTTATTTCTGTCTCCCAGACCTTATACTACAGTAAGTCAAAATCTCCAGGATTCTAAAATTGTTAATTTAAAAAAAAAATACAACTTAGTATTTATTCTGCTAATAAGCAAAGTCATTCATTCTTGCACAACAGAATTATGACCCTGCTTCATAAGCACTTTATGACACGTTTTTGGACCTCTTTTTATGCAAAATTACTCAGTGCACAGATGGTTCAAACCAAGTTAATACTATAGGATCACTGAAAAAATACCTCCAAACTTAATTTAAATTAATACTGCATAATGGTATTGGGGAAATGTGATACACATTGTTCTGTCAGTGTACTAAACAACTCTAAAATTGTTTACATACTGCATTTTTAAATTGATAATATCTTCAGTCTTAACTTTAGCAGCCCTTTTCCAAACACTGAAGACATAGCAGACCTGCATCTAAAAGCATAAACTATTCAACTATATTCAGAAAAGAAGAATGGGAGCCTGATATTTGAAGGGAAAATACCAATTAACCACCAAGATTATTTTGTAATATTGTAATAATTTATTTTGCTTCAGGTACAAGCCAATGAACTACTTTGTTCTGACAAGTTTGCAGAAATACAATGGTCCGAAGTTACACGGAATAAAGGGCAACACCAAATGACCATATTTCAGCCCAAGGTCATGCCCCAATTTGTAAACACATTCAATTGGCTCCAGAGCAGCTGTCATATCCCTGTGAAATATAAGGTACATTTTAATATGAGTTTAACAGATTTTATACCTGGGCATATAGTCTCAACTTTTCTGATATCCGCAATACATCGGCATGAAGTCTGAAATGCTGAAACTAATCATAACAATATATCAGATCTGGACAATTCAGACAGTATAATGAACAGTCCCTGTACATATAAATATATGGGTATTTCTTTTTATTCTTTTAAACAATTTGTGATCTCTGTAGCCATGAGGATACATTCTTCTGATGACTAGACAGATAAGTCCACAGAATCTATTGGGGTTCTTTTTTATTTTAAGTAGTTTACTAATTACTGAACATTTTAATTTGCAACTGTATACAATATTAGAAAAGCTCTTACAGAAACCCAATACAAAGTCAAAACAACATGTTCTCTCTGTAATACTTGCATGAGAATCTTCCAGGTAACAGCAGATCGATGAGCAAAATATTTCAGCTACATATACTGTAACGTGATCATAAATTCAACTAGTCTCTGCTGTAATGGCACCTGGGTAGAGGACGCATAATGCAGTGTTGCTAGCTATGGCTGGGAGAAAAGTTACTACCATATTTAACAATATGATGGTACAGGGTGGAGCGCAGAAACTTCCTTTTTGTGAAGACGCATTGTGAAGGGAGGAGCGGTCGCAGAAAAGTGGGGATAGGTTTGGTGAACGCAGCAGTCGTGGAAGTTTCTGTCTAATACCCCTCAGTAGGAAACATGAGGTGGACGAGTGAGCAGTGTGCGTTTGCTGTCGAAGCCTATTTTTCGAACAACCATTCCTACGTGGCGGTGCAGCGTGCGTGCCGTACTCACTTTGGAATTAAGCCCAGAGGTCCAGTTCCCGACCAGAAATCGATTGTTTTGTGGGTAGAGAACTTTAGGACAACCGGGAGCGTGGTGAAAAAATCATCAGGATGACAACGGACCATTACAATGCCAGAAAATGTGGAGGCAGTTCGACAGTCGATTCTGAGATCTGCTCCACTCACAAACATGCAGTCGCCCTAGACATATCCAATCGTTCAATGTGCCGAATTCTTCACGAACATCTTCATTTCCATCCCTATAAGATGGCTGTTGTGCAAGACTTGTCACCACGTGATTTCCAGAACCGAATAACGGCGTGCGAAACATTATTGAAAAGTTTACCCCCCCTGACGCACTTGTTTTCTTTAGTGATGAGGCACATTTTCACCTATCCAGATATGTCAACAAGCAGAATATGTGCTATTGGAGTGGTAACAATCCCAGAGAGCTCCATGAGAGGCCACTGCACAGTGATAAGGTGACAGTATGGTGTGCATTGTCATGAGTTGGAGTTATTGGCACTTATTTTTTTGAAGAAGACAATCATGCAGTTGCTGTCAATTCACAGCGATATGCGGACATGATTAAAAACTTTTTCGAACCAAATCTTGAAGAAATGCATCTAGGAAATGTCTGGTTCCAACAGGATGGTGCCACAGCCCAAGCTTTGATGACAGTTTTGAGGGCAAAGTTCCCCGGATGGCTCATCTCGTGGGCAGCGCACTCACCTGATGTAACGCCCTGTGATTTTTTTTATGGGGATACCTCAAGGTAGAGGTTTTTAAACATCACCCCACAAACCTGCTTCAGCCAAAGAATGTTATTCGGCAGGAAGTAGCCCAAATTCCAGTGCACATGTTGGAACGTGCAGAGGGGAACTTCAGAAAACCGTTGCATCAGTGTATAGAGAACAGTGGCCACCACCTTCAAGATATTTTGTTTAAAACTACATGATTTAAAACTTTAAAGTATGTTCTTTCATTAGCTAAACATAAATTTTGTCTATCAGCAATAATTTTGCGTTTATTCACCTTCAAAAAAAAAAAGGAAGTTTCTGCGCACGACCCTGTATGACAGCCAGGCAGAGATTGAGACAGATTGTAGCATACCACAGGGTTTGATGCTAAAAACTGTGAAGGTAAAGCTTGGGAGAATTTATATGAAATTGTAGCCTATTACTGGGAGTTCAACCATAAAGAGCAAAATTTGAATGCGGGTGGATGAATATATACAAGGTTAGACAATTAAGTTCCAAGACTGCATGCATTTTAAGAAAACCATGTTTAAAATCGAAGTCTTCAAAATAATCTCCTTGAGATAATAACACACATTTGTGTTCGCTCATAAAATTTTTTCAAACACTTTCTGAACTTAATTTTCATGTAATGCCAACAAATCATTTGCTAGATTTCTTTTAATGTCTTCTGTGTCTTCATTATCTTCTCCCTTTCAGAGTAAATTTGATTTGGGGAATTAAGAAAAAGTCAGGTGTTTATAGTATACAGGCTGGCTTACGACCAAACTAATCCTGAATCAAAACAAAATTACTAACCTGAAAGCGGTAAATGCAATTAAAATTGGTTGAGAATAATTCAGTATGAATCACACTGCTTCTGTTTAATCACAGTCTAAATAATTAACTGCCCTTGACTTACTTAACAATGACTTGTATGTCAGTTTCTTCCCACACTTTGCGAAGAGCCATATGTACCACACCGTCATTCTGGATGGGTGACAAAGAACATGTTGAATACACCACTGTCCCTCCAGGCTGTACCAGCTTCAAAGCATGACTGGGAATATAATTTCATTGACATTTTATATAAAATCACAAGAACCTTCAGTACATAAAGTTATAGAGTATGCCAGACTTGATCTAGGGAAGGGTTCAGCAAACATACTGAGAAAAGAAAAAAAAAAACTAATGGTAAGTTGAACAGTTACATACCTTAGAAGTTCAGCCTGCATTTCTGGAATCTGAAGTCTCTCTTTTGTTCTTCCTGGTTTGAAAATATTATTGTCATTTTCATGTAAACTATGTCTGTCTGTGGTGCAAGGAACATCAACTAAAATCTGCAATGTGACACGGCTATGTACACATAAATAAATGATGGAAATATTCTTAGACTAAGTTTAAAATTCACTTTTTTTTTTTTAGTGTGTGATCTCAAAGTCAAATTCTAATTTCAGGATCATCCCTTCAGACAAGACATAGGAATGCCGTGACATTGTGATCTGGCTCACATATCTATTGTAAAAACTGTTCCCCTCCAGTGAAATAAGCCACAAAAAATGACAGGTTTATTACAGATGGATCTTGCAACAATAAAAAATTATTGCATGCTCTTTCAAGGATACTGCTGCTTTTGTAACATTTCAAAAGGGTGGATGTGTGGATTAGACTGTCAGAATTTATATGTTACTTCTCAGCCCACAATGGAAATCGTGCCAACGAGGGACTAGACGTTAAGACCATACTCAACTTATACTAATCATACTGTATATAAATTTTAAAGTATATGGACACTTTACTGAGATTATGAATTCTTTCGAAAAATGTTCAAAATATAATAGCAAATCCCATTTATATGCCAATTACAGAGGGCTTTCATATGCTTAGTGAGTAAATAATATCCAGCACTATCTGCCTCCCCCCCCAGAAAAAAAGTACAGAAAAGATGAACCCACTAAGGAAGTAAAAGAGCAATATTAAAAGGTTATTAGTATTACAGTTTATCAAATGTGGATTACAAAGCCAAGATTAACAAGTGTTTCACAAATATGTAATGAAAATTACCTTATTGTACACATCACATTCATCAATATCTCTGCCATCTCTCTGAGTAATAAATAATTGATTCTTCCACATATCGTCGTTGTAAAGGTACTGCTTAATTACTGCATGAATTCTATTGGTTCGTGATTCCCGGACATCATTGCACACAAGACGTGCTGGAAGGAGGAGTGAACTGATTTCTTTGTTTGTACAAATGCTCAGATAATAATAAAGTGCATCATAAGGAAATAACTTAGGTGCATTGAAGTGCCTCAGAATAGATTCCAGTAGTAAGTTTTTACAGCTGTGAAGATGAACTATAAGGTTCATTAAGCATAAAGATTTTCTTGAAGAAGTGTACAATTACTGATGAAAGACAAAAGTTTAAATCCAGATTAGCACAGCAAGTACAGGTATGTTCATCATAATTAACATCAATAAACATTGTTCATTAACACCATTAATGTCAACATACAGCAACTTAGAGAAAGAAGGATATTTTTGTGAATGTGACATTACAGGCTTCTGTTTTTGCAATATGGTGAAAGGAAGTATAGAAAATATGTAGTTCCTATTACCACACTGATAGCCATCATTATTAAAACATTATGACATAAGAAGACAGGAAAGTGTACAAAATAAATATTCAGAACACTGAGTGAGCCTCTTAAGTTCTGTGACAGTACTGAAAGGTATAGCTTGACAACTTTCCAACAGATATACTTAGAATTTGAACAAGCTATTACATTTGTAAGTGATCAACAACAAATAGAGTTTTGTGTTTATTTGATGAAATAACAACAAAAGCTGTCTGATGTATAACATAAATAAAGAAATCAGTGTTTAGTACTATTTCTTCACCGTTTCCAGCAGTATGTACAGGTATAGGCCTGGAATATCAATATACGAGGATAAGTCAATAAGTAAGTTACAAATGGATACAGAACTTAAACATATAAGAGTACTGATTTGAAAAATGCTTTTATTTCTCAACAAAATCTCCCTGTACATTGAGGCACTTGTCCCATTGTTTCACAAGCCCCTGAAAACCAGCAGCATAAAATTCTTTGGGCTGCTGATGGAACCAGGCGGTGACTTCCCTTTCTATAGTTTTATTGTCGGGGAAAATGTTCAGCTGAAAGATGATGTTTAAGAGGGCCGAACAAATGGAAGTAGCTTGGAGCAAGGTCGGGGCTATAGGGAGGATGCTCAAGGACTTCGCACTTGAAATTTCGCAGCGTCTCATTTGTCTTGCTGGCAGTATGGGGACGCTCACTGTCATGCAAGAGCAACATGCCTTTGGAGAGGAGTCCTGGTTGCTTCTGTTGAATGGCCTTACAAAGTTCCTGAGGATGTTACAGTAGGAGTCAGCATTTATGGTTTGTCCTTGAGGCTGGAATGTGGTGAGCAGTATGCCTTCGTGATCCCAGAAGACTGTTAGCATCACTTTCCTGGAGGATGATGTCACCTTAAACTTTTTTTTTGGCAGGCGACGCAGGATGTCTCCACTGCACTGACGCACGCTTTGTCTCAAGCTGCACCCATCATGCACAGACTTCGTGAAAACCTAACCTGTCATGCATTATGAGGTAGGCCGTGCCATGGGAACCAATAGCAGTGGCTATAGTGTCTAGTTACCCTTCTGTCTGCTCGGATTAAGTCTTCAACCCGTTGCACATTCGCCTCTGTGGCAATCTCTGTTGGCCAGCTGATGCGGTTTTCATCTTTGATACGTGTCCGCTCTTCAGAGAACTTTTGCGCCCAATTGTGAACAGCTTGACGTGACAGGCAATTCTCTCCACAGATGGGAAGCATTTCTTTATGAATATTCTTTGATTCCATACCTTTTGCCCACAAAAATTGCACAACGGAGCACTGCTCGAGGGTTGTACACTCACTCAGAGGCGCTGCCATCTTGCAACTGCTGTTTCACTTTTGTAAACATCGACTGTCGTATCAAATGTCATCAATTGCCACCGGACTAATGCTGTCATCTAGTGGCGATAGCCTAAAGTGCCTCATTCAAACATGTAGTACCCCACAACAATTTGTAACTTACTTATTGACTCACCTATGTACATGTAGCACTTCAGTGTGACTTTCATTAACAGTAAATCTGCCATCATGAAGACTGGAAATAGACAACAATGTATCGGGAAGGCTTCACTGGTTAAAACCACCCCTACCTCCCCAAGAAAACAATGCTGAAGACAGACGTGAGAGAGCTGTGTCTGAATAAAAGCAAAAGGCAAGCATTATTAGATTTAAATTCTTTGTCATAAGTGAACTTTACAACACAAAAATTGTTAAGCTACTATTACATTTCCACACATACAAACAAGCAGAGATGAAGTTCAATGTTACTAATATTGGCTGTTTAAAATGATGCCATTAGTAATATGAGACATAGGAGAGTTCATTTGAAGTGTGGAGTATAAATAAACAGTTTTCAGATTCTTAACCATTATTGATTTACAGCATTTCAAAACTGGAAGTACAGTGACAATGAAACTCCTTGGTTAGAACATTTGAAGCACTATACAATGACTTTTTAAGGATCAGAACTTTCCTAAAAGGTGAAGCAAACATTATAGAACATATTAACAGGTAAAGAAAATGTAAACGTTTTCTGATAAATTTTCCTTTATCTTCTATAGGCTTGAGAAGAATACCCAGTAGCATCCAAGGACTGTGTCAGATGGTAGGATGCATTAATGAGGTCATTGCAGTTTTGAGTATCTGTAGGATAACTTTTTTCCTTCATACATCCCCAGAAAAAGGAGTATGGGGAAGTGAAGTCATGGGAACAAGGTGGCCATGCCACTTCCCCTTTTTCTATTTGCTGATGAAGAAAAGTATTATTCAGCACACAATAATGTGAGACAACAAACTGAACCAGCATATGCCTAAATGCTACTATAGAAGGTTAGAAAATTACACCCCTCTCTCAAGTTAAAAACATCTCAAGTTTCTAAAAACTTTATCACAATAACACAAAATTCCCAGCCACTGTGATGAAAACTGCCACTAGTGTCTTAATTTTTAAAACAAAAGAGTAATAACTATATAGCACTGTCCAAGCACAGAAATCCTGGTGATGGAGTCAGCTTGAGATTACAGAATTAGACATCTCTGCTACCATTTGTACTTCACAGCGACACTGTTGCATAACATGTTCACATGACCATCCCTTAATGGTCATAATATGAACAAAACAGCAGCAGAAATTACTCTCCATCTAAAAAGAAAGTAGTAAAATGTGCAACCCCACATAGCTTTCTGGCTTGCCTGTGCTGTGGAGGTGACCATAGCAACAAATGTTGGTCCAAAGATTTCATACTGTAGACAGCACAAACCTGGAAAGAGTGTCTGCAGAATCAGAAGAGATTTTCCCCCAGGAGCAGCACACATGTCCAAAACTCTATCACCAGGATTCACACCCAGTGCCAAAACTGGCAACAGTGATGCACCATCCATCAAGTAGTAATCTGCAATACCAGGACATATTTAGGCTACTGATGTGTAAGTCATTTAAAATTACAGTGGTAACGCACTGCCTATACAAACATTATTAATTCATATTGTATGGGATAAGTGTTCTGGACTTACTAAGAACATCAGTGGAACCTCGCTTAGGACTGGGGAATGATGATATATTTCCTCGTTCAAATAGTAGAACCTAAAGCAGAGAGCATACTGCGTGTTGGTTTAAAGTTCTTGTTACATATCACATTTCATGTAATATTTTACTTAACATAAAAATAACCCATAAAATGAGAAATGTAAGCTTAGTTTCATCTTAGATTTCATGGAAAAGAAAAAGATTCCAGCTGTTGATGACCATATGTATTACTTACTTACTTACTTACAAATGGAGCTGAGCCCTTCTGGAGGAGCTGCCAATTCTGCAGCTACTTAAGGATTTCACAGGATTTCATGGAACCCAAAGGTTCATTACCATGTTCACAAGAGCCCTCCACTGGTCCCTATCCTGAGCCAGATCAATCCAATCCATACCATCCCATTCTGTCTCTCTAAGATCAATTTTAATATTGTCCACCCACCTATACCTTGGTCTTCCCAGTGATCTCTTTCCTTCCGGCTTTCCCACCAATATCCCATATGCATTCCTTTAATCCCCATTCATGCTACATTCCCTGCCCACCTCATCCTCCTTGACTTGATCATTCTCCTTATACTTGGAGAAGAGTACAAGTTATGAAGCTCCTCATTATGCAGTTTTCTCCAACCTCCTGTGATTTCATCTCTCTTCGGTCCAAATATTCTCAACACCCTGTTCTCAAACACCCTCAGTCTATGTTCCTCCCTTAATGTCAGAGACCAAGTTTCACATCCATACAGAACCACTGGCAAAATTATAGTTTTGTATATTCTAATTTTTATGTTTTTGGATAGCAGACGGGAAGATAAAAGGTGCTGGACTGAATGGTAGCAAGCATTACTCGAGTTTGATCTCCTCTTAATTTCCTCCTCAATCAGGTTTTGATTTGTTATCATCGTTCCCAAATATTTGAAATGTGCCACATTTTCAAAACATCTGTTTTCTGTCAGTATGTCAGGATTTTGCCCTGCATTTTTGTGATGAGAGAGCAACATATACTTAGTTTTCTCTGTGTGTACTTCTAGACCAATCTCCTTACTTGCGTCAATTAAAGTTTGTTTTTTTCTTTATGGTATCTACATTATCGCCCAGTAGATTCACATCATCAGCACAGACCAACAGCTGATGTGTCCCGTTTAATTTCAGTCCCCCCTGGTTTCCCTGGACCTTTCTAATGGCATATTCTAAAGCAAAGTTGAAAAGGAGTGGAGATAGAGCATCTCCTAGTTTTAGACCATTCTGGATAGGAAATTTATCAGAAAAATGTTTACCTACACGGACTTTACTATGCGTTTCGTTTAAAGACATTTTAATCAAACTAACTAGTTTCATGGGTATCCCAAACTCTATCAGAATATTGTAAAATACTTCCCTCCTAACTGAATCATAGGCTTTCTTGAAGTCTATGAATAGCTGATGTACTGTCTCAATGTACTCCCATTTCTTCTCCAATATCTGACAAATGCAAAAGATCTGATCTGTAGTTGATCTGTTGCATCGAAACCCACACTGATGATCCCCAATAATTTAATCTATGTATGGACTAAACCTTGAGAGAAGAATATTTGATATAACTTTGTATGAAGTTGACAGCAGTGATATCCCCCGATAATTTCTACAGTCAGTTTTATCATCCTCCTTGTGAACTGGTACAATAATAGACTCCTCCTGCTGATCAGGCAAATTTTTCCTTATGCCAAATAGCAGTAATCAGACTGTGGACCTTACAACGTAATATTTCGCCTCCTGCTTGAATAAGTCTGCAAGAATTTGATCACTACCTGGCGATTTATACCGTTTCAATTTTGCAATAGTACTTTCAACCTCAAAAGGGCTGGGATCAGGAACTAACGGCTCAGCTGTATGGATTTCTGTCTGCCTAACATCTCTGACCCTATGTACATTCAATAACTGAGAGTAGTTCCTCCACCTATTCAAAATGTTGTGGGAATCTGCAAGCAGATCACCATTCTCATCCGTCACTAAGTTACTGCTAGGCTGGTAACCCCTCTTAAAGTCATTTATTCCTCTATACAGGTCTCTAATGTTCTTGTTCTTACTGTTCATTGCAAGCTCATCAATTTTGTTTTTCAGATATTCCTTCTTTTTGTTCCTGAAATGCCTGCTGTTTCACGTCTTATGTTGTTCGTATTATTCCCATTTAACTCACTTGGATCCTGTAACCATTGCAATTTGGCCTGCTTTCTTTGATCTAATAATTTTGAGCATCCTTCATCGAACCATGGCTTATGCTTCTTCAGTTCATAATAACCTAGACTCTCGTTGGTAAAAATTTTGATATTCTCTCTAATAGTTTCCTAAGCTTTATTAACATCCACCTCAGTGTCCAAGTTTTCCAAGACCATGAACCTATTTGAGATTTCAACACGATACTGTTCTTTACCCTCTACCTCATTTAATTTCTTGAGATTGAACCTCTCCATATGAACTCTGTGCGTTGTTTGCTCACTGCCAGTCGTTCCCTTACCTTTGCCACCACCAGGTAGTAGTCAGTATCACAATCTGCTGCCCTGAATGATCGGACATCAAGTATACTTGAGTGCCTTCTCCTATCTATCTATGAAAATATGGTCTAGTTGATTGTATATCTTCCCATCCGGAGATGTCCAAGTAAATTTATGGATGTTACAATGAGGGAACATTGTACTTTTGACAGTAAGATTTTTGATGTGGCAAAGTTTACTACTCTAACTCCATTATCATTACTAATTTCATGCAAACTCTCATTCCCAATCGTTGGTTTGAAAATGCCTTCCCTCCTTACTTTGATATTGAAATCTCCTAACAAAATTTTCATAGGTACTTCGGGAATTTATAAAATACATGTTCTAGATGACCATATGTATTATTCATAAAAAATTATATTACTTTATTTTTAACAATTTTTAATGCTGATAACCCTTAATAAATTTTATCCTTTTAACTGTCAAGCACAATATGTCTGCTCACACCTCCTTATTCAGAGCATCAAAGAATCACAGATTTGTTTCTCTATAAAATTAACCAATTCATGTCACCATTATCCTGACATGTGTACATGCTTTGAGATGTCCTGTGAACCAGTTTCACCAAATATCTTGATATCACCTTATAAACACGCTGACATATGTAAGATGTGCATTCTTAATAACAAATGCCCTACTGTTCACTATTACTGGTTGAATCATAAAATAGTTTCACATTTGTCCAAAGATGGAAGAATATGTGAGGTCAGTCGCTGGGTGTGATAAAGTCATGAAAAATATGGAAAGCTGTGAAGTTAATGAACTTGAATATTCTGGGTATAGCAATCAAGGATTTATTAATGAAATCTGATTCTGATCCATACTGGACAATTGGCAAACTGATATTAAAAATGTTGGTGCTTGCACACCTCTAATTAAAATTCACCTGAAGATGAACAGGAAAAATAAAATCATTATCGCTTTCTACACAAACAGGGAAGTCAGTATCTTTCCTGTAATAGCCATAATGCTGTGATTCCACAATCCAGTCTTCCATGCCCTTGAGACGAGTGGCTGGCACATATTCATAAAGTGCACCTGCTGACAGTCCACTGGCTGGATCAATGAGACGGTGTGAATCAAACTCAGCTTCTCTGAGACTTGACTGTAACGATTTTTGACTCATTCCATCTCTATTGCTTTCAGCATCATCCTGTTAACATAAACATTAATGTCAGATAACTATTACCATAAATCACCTTCAAAATTCTCTACATTCTTACACCATAAAAAACTGTAGTCATTTTTTGCCTCAAATATTCGATAACAATATCTCAGTGATTCCTAGTAAGCAGGTATATGCAGCCATTGCTGGGTAATGTCTTCGCAAACAGGCATGTTCCCATGGAAATGACTGGAACAACAATAGAAGAGCTGTGTTTTCTGATGGTCCATGCCAAGAGGTTATCAATGGGACAAGTTTAGAAGTTAAGTCAGTTGTCAGTTGTAAGGGAGTCTGTGAAGAGAAGACTTGGTCAGTGCAGTTGAAGAATCCCCAATGTTAGAGGCCATTACCAGGGAACGACCAATGGAGATTGTAACAGACTGACAACTATAGTCTGTGTGCTCTAGTGATTTGTAAAGTGTGGAGATCAGTGATGGTGCTATAATTAAGTGTACTTACGAGTTATGCATTAAAGTGGTCAGTAAATCCAATCCAAAACCCCACTGACAGTCGTTCTAGCACATGACATATTATTTTATAAAATAGGGCAGAAGCTACCAGTATTGTTGGAATGGCAACAATTCAAATATACAGTATATTTCTAGAATTAAACTATACACTTAAACTTTCTAGAATGTGTTTACAATAGTTCATCTCCTTGTTGTCCCTGAAGTTGAAGTGGCTTAATGTACATAACCAACATAGAGTATGTGTGCAAGTTATGTTTACAGGTCTAGCAAATATGAAGTTCAATTACATAATGATTAAAAGCACTTTACAATCAAGGACTTCCATAGTATGCTGATAATGTAAAGTGTGTTCTATGTAAACAGTATTGTTATAAGCAGCATCTATAATATGAAATCCAGAAATTAACTGTGTAATATGCTTTTCTTAACTCAGTGTTTCAGAGTTTCAAGAACTGTGCATCAGAAACAAGGGGATGGGAAATGCAAACATGGATTCCAATTCAGTTAAGTGTAGGCCAACATGAGATGTTAGAACTGAAAATTAATTTGTACTTGAGACAGTCTTTATTTTGCAGTGACAACTACGGTGCAGAAGTAAGAATTGTTGTGCAGTGCTGTTACACATTGCTTTCAAATTCCAAATTCTGAAATGAAGCACACAATTTGTGTTCCTATCTATTTAAGCAATGTTGTTTGCATTCTACAATACAAGATTCTGGAGACAAGAAGTTACTTTTTAAGCTGCCCATGCCACTGAAGTACTTTAAGTGGCTCTGAAACATATCTTGGGAAACAGAATTAGGATCTTTCCCTTCAATAATGCATTTCTGGCCATACTAGCTTCCTCAGTCAGTACTGGGAATCACTTTCTCGATGCAACCAACATATGGGTAACTGCTCTACTTACACGTTTTTAGGTACTAAATTTGTTTAATGAATAATTGATTCTATATGCCTCTTATACTCACTTCTCTGTTTATGTTGTCTGAAATTCCATGGGATGTGTCAGAACTGCTTCTGTTCAATATATCTGCTGACACAGAGGTACCTTCTGAGCTCTCTCTGTGGGGATATAGCGATTCAAATTCCTCTTGTTGCTTGGTAATGGCCATTTGTTCCAGCTTTCTATCAAGCTTGAAAATTTTCTCTAGATCTCGCCTTCTTCTTTCTTCATTTTTCTTAGTCTTGATATTTTCTTTCTCCAGTTCAAATAATGTTCTTATGTTCATAGCACCAATATTCTAGAAAAGATTATAATAACTAATCATCCATACATCTGCAAATGTACAGAAATTACTGCTAACACTGTAAACTGATTTTACCTAGACAACAGAATCAAATTTTAAAAAGGGCAAGTGGTGTTATAGAAACATCGTTTGAAAAGATAATGAAATGTATGTGCATATTCATGTACCATGCAGCAATAGTCCAGAAGGAAATAACATTAGTACTACATTTTACAACAGTTTAAGAAGATAGGAGAGTCTTAAAAAGGTGCTTCATTAGCTACTGGTTATAGTAATGCTTTGTTTGTTTATAATGTTTGCTTGACACATTCGCCAAGTCAATAACCCACAGGAATGATGTAGTTGGACTTACACTTTAATCTTTAAAGCAGCACATTTCTCCAGTAGATCTGATATTTTACTTTCAAGAGGTAAGGTTACTACTTTAGCTTATACTGATCAAGTGTAATCAAAGAGTAAAACAAATACAAAGATATTGGATGGAAACTTTTCCAGTCTGTATATATGGCATAAGACCCCTGTGCAAGAAAATGTGTTTTAAAAGGTGGTTATGCTAAAGGTCATTAAAACTGAACACACTGAAATAACTTTGTAATTAACTTCAAGATACAGGATCTTTCTTAAGTCAGCTAGTTGAATTTTCTTTCCTACAGCAGGATATCGCATCTGGAGATAATGAGTCCAAGCTGCTAGATTTGAGAACTCTGATGGCAGTAGCTAGGAATGTTGCCTACTGTCCCTCTTGGTGTGGCTCTACCAATCAGCATAATTCAGTAACAGGTGCTGTTGGTGTGCACCAGTAACACTGTTTAAGTGTTACCTGCAGATGCTGTCATATATATATTTACTAACACTGATTTATCCAGAAACTCCTAATTAATTTTATTTACCTAATTATTAGACTTTTATCAATATTTATTAATGGACAATTAACATATTTGGCTTATACATTTTGATGTTAACTGAACTTCACTGTATTATGTCATTATATTTCATTGCCTTATACATGCAATACTGTTTTTTGTAGGACAACCTAAATTTCAAGAGCTGCCTGAATGTCTGAATTCCTGATGTTTATGTGCACTCAATAATCTTGCAGTGTGGGGACATGAACTGCCACATCTCCCAGCCTGAACTGGAAACATATCTTGATTTTCTGTTGGGACTAACTACCCATCAGGGTTATATTAAAGTAATTATGTTGTAGCTACTTCATTTAAAATTTCAAATTAGTGAGGCGGTAGGTGTGAGGTCAAGAGATAGGTATCATTACACAAGGTCTTACACAAATACATGACAGAAATGTGCATAAATTGCACCAGTACTTCAAACATGGGTATCAGCCATGCAGACAAAGCAATGCATGATGATGGTAACAATGCTGCGAGATGTTATGAACAAATAACAACTGCCTGTAACATGGAACTTCAAACTTTGCACAGAATTGTGACTGAAGTATAACATTGTTTCATACATGCAGAACTGTGAGTTTCAAATGCCTAGGAATATCAAGGTGGATGTGCTGCAAAACATAATTTTCATATGTATGTCAGTGGACAGTTTCTGACAGCAAAGAAACTGGATGCAAAAATGAAAATGGTTAGTGTTCATAATTTTAAAAAAAGCAATGTTTTCAGGCATAAAAGAGATGTCATGGCTACAGAAAATCCAAAATGGAATGCAGCAATGTTGTAGCTACTATACTGATCATCAGTACTGTCATCATTATTGAAGACACTTTGTCTTGGAGCCAGCAATAAACAAATTATCTGTGGCATGTTATGCAATTAGAAATATAAAGCATACAGTAACAACAGAAACGCTAAGGTTAATCTACTTTGCCCATGTTCATTCTATTATTAGTTATGGAATAATCTTCTNGTAAAAACTTGCACCTACCTGTGGTGAATCTGGCCAAATTTGACAAAGGTGTCTATATCACAAGTATAAGAGTTTTTAATCATTTACCTAATTCAATAAAACGATTGGTTAACGATGAGAAGGGGTTTAAATCCACTTTAAAAAGGTTTCTGTGTCACCATTCCTTTTACTCCATGAATGAGTTTTTTCAATAGGCTGAGAGTTAGAATATACTGTCACGTGTTGGGTGTATGTCATGTGACAAATAAGTTCACGCCATCTTGGATCTAGCGAATTTATTCCACTCGCTCTTACACTTATACAATTCATAATTACACCACTAATGCCATCAGCAGTATTACAATTACTTCTCCAGCTCTCGGTGACTGCTACACTGCAACTGACTCTGGGACTTCACAGTCCACACTGTGTCACTCCTAATCACACACTCTCTGGTCACATACTGCTCAGCCGGCTTTTTATACCATTCCCTGTTGCCTCGTGTTACCAGTGGTGTCCCCTTGTTATGTCACAGTGGGAAGTGCTGTTACGTCACTGCGGGGGAGGGGGGCAGTGTTGACTGGCCTGTTACTGTAGCAGTGACAGCGCTCCGATGCTGTTACGTCACCACTGGTGAAGGAGGGGGTGTCCTGCATAGCGCAAATATGTCACAATACTATACCATGCTACTAAGTACTGTTTTAATATATGTATGTTTTATTATCTAGGTTTTGTATATCGACACACCCGATATTCTGGGTATGAAGTTTTAAAAAATTTTGTTGTAAATAAACTTAGAATATGTGCAGTACACATTTTTGAATTGTATATTATAAATTTAGATATCTAAAAGCAGTATTATATATTGCTGACTTGTGTTTGTCTTGTCATGCTAAGAATGTGTATTGACTTGTTCTGCAGTTGTAGGCATTTGGCCGGTTTTGGAGTTATGGAACGCATAAATATGAATGAATGAATGAATGAATGAATGAATGAATGACAGGTTTCCTAAGAACAATGTATGAAATCAGACAGACTTGCACAGCACAGCTGAAACATTTATTTTGTTTTGAAGCAGTTATTTTCATTTTGTCACATATGGCCTTGACGTCAGTTCATTTTAGTTCACTACTAATTCAGTGAACACCACTGCACTGTCTTTATTTATTCACTAACTTATGGCTGACAGTACATGCTGCATGTCACTTCTAAGCACAGACCGACTCCCTTCACACCAGTGACCACTGTTTTATGCACCAAATCCTTGTAGAATGGTTATATGCCTTTGTGGATTGCCTGGCTACAGATCCAGAGGTCCAGGTTCGATTCCCGGTGCTACCAGATTTTCTGAGAAGTAGTGGGTCTGGAATGGGGTCCACTCAGCCTCGAGAGGATAATTGAGGAGGTACTTCAAGGAAATAGCGGCTCCGGTCTAGAAAAGCGAACTTAATGGCCATGGGGATTCATTGCACTGACCACGTGACACCCTCTATCCACTAAAGTTTGCATTAACTTTGCCAATAAGAGGCGGTTGCTCGGTTGGTATAGTTCAGTTGCAGACTAAAATCACAGTTTGTTTTTTCCTATGCCTTTGTGAGTAGACTGGGTACTTTGCATTACTAGAATAGTGGGGGAAGAGTTTGGAAACTTCAATGGCGATATGCATGCATACATTAACAGGTGACCCATTTCCCTCCTACACTCAGTCTGCTGACACTGTTTAGACTAAACTCAGGTTGATCATACCAGAAAGACTGCTTGGAGATGAGTGATGGCTCTGGTGGCTGAAGGGTTTCCTTTGGTAAAGACAGCCATCTCATTGTATGTTATACCATAAGAAAGACAGTGTGTTCGAAGTAATCATCATAATTCGGGGAATCTGAATGCAGCAAAGATCATGGAGATGATAAAGAATGAATTCTCAAGTACTTACACTGTATTGAGAATATTTATTATAATTTTATAGCGTTAGTTAGTTGTCTTCATCATGCTTAAATTCATGCAGTTTCCAAGCATAACAAATCTAGTATCGAATTAAATATCAGACACATGAAGGTTTGTTCACATGTTTATTTAAAGTTACTTCTTCACTGCATGGATTTTACATACAGGGTGTCCCAGGAGGAATGTGCCAAACTTCGGGAGGGTGTTCCNTGAAGCATGGTAGATTTCAAACACTTAGGAGTAGTTCTTATCAGTACATTACAATGTCCAAAATGGTTAATTGCATTACCTGTAGATCTGACACAACAGTGTCAGAATCACCAAAATTGTTGATGACAGCACAATATTTGTGTGGTGAAAGAAGAGCAAGACGGATAGATGGCCATTTTCTACCAAAAACTGTTTTATAGAAGTCATCAAAGTGCTCCAAAGCTTTGTCCACTGGGTATTTCTTCTTAGCTAAAACAGACTGAAATAAACATGATCCAAGACTTTTTTCAGACAAAATAAATAAAATGTTATTATAATAAACAATTCATTACATAAATATATACCTTGAAAAGTGTATTTTGGCAGTCAACATGTCAAGCTAAAAGAAGCCTATGAAATATTTTCATTCAATATTTTATGTGCAACTCCACCAAAGCAGGTTCCAAGCCCAGATGGAAAAGAAGGAGGGGAAGCAGTATGACTCATTAAAAATCCCATGCTCAGGAAGTTCTCACAGCAGTTAATATGAAGACTATGGTTTTCTGGGAAGTGACACAATGTAGCTTGGTTACCGAACTGCAAGATGTCACATCCCAGAAAAACATAATTATAAAGTGAAGTTAATTTACCTAATAATGAAATTATATAGTACAAACGATAGCAGCTATATGTAACAAAAAAATCTATGAAACGTATGAAAATAATTTTTGTTAAGTAAGATATGAGGTTTTCACAGCGGTGACTAAAAAGAATGTTCTCTTTTGGGATGATGTGCTGTGTAGAGCTTGTGTGAACCGACATTTCGGAGGAATGTATCACCACCATCTTCAGGGTAGAAAAATCTGCGAGTAACCAGCGTGAGCAAGTGGCAGCTTGAAAATTTTTCTGCCCTGAAGATGGAGGCGATATGTTCTTCTGAAACGTAGGTTCACACAAGATCTACATGGAACAACATCCCAAAGATGGCATTCTTCAATTTTTTGTTACAGTAACAATATCCTTAACCTCACAGTCATGTAGATTACATCTATAAATTCATTCTACATAGACAAAACAAACTTCAAAACATTTATAAAATAATAATAAACTTATGAATATATGTCACTATGATAAATCTGTTCAATAAGTAAAAACTACGAAGTTCCCTGGATCCCAAATTAATGACCAATTAAAATGGAAATGAGACCTCTTTTCCTCAGTTCATCCATTAAGACAGTGTATCAGTGAACCAGGGTACACTACACCTTGTGTAGGAAACCTTGGTGAAGAAAAATCCTGTGTAACTGTTTATTTATGTAAATTCATGTGTACTGTTCTTCTACGACTTGATTATTACGATTACTTTTCGTGACTTCTTTCATATCATAATGAATTAGGGTTCATGTTATGCATATAATCTACCTAAATGATTAAGGAAAACTCTTAAGGAGAAAAAGAACGGCCAAGACCCCTAAACATTCCACTGGGACTGATAATGTCTAGAACTCCGATGATGGCATACAGTAAAATGTAGATCATTTGCAGTTTGATCAGCCTATATTATGTGATACCCTTAAGATCACTACACTTACCTTGTGTATTATATTGGTTTACTGTCCATAATAACGAATTTAAAGTTACCTTAGTGGACTGGACACGTTAGGTTAGTTTGTGTTCGTATAGTTCATCAGAATTGATACCTAGGATTTATTTGTAAGTGACTGTAATCTGAAACTCGGAATGACGATTTTAGACTATCACTGCGTTCATTTCTCATTTGACAGTCACAACTGTATTTGTGGATTTTAGACTATCACTACGTTCACTTCTCATTTGACAGTCACATCTGTTTTTGTGCGTAACTTCCTATGAACTTCATAACCTATATGTCACAAATACACTACTTACCCAGTGGACTTTTTTAGATTTCCATCGTCTTTGCATATAGATGGAAGATCGAAATAATATATTTCTGCAGACTGTATTAATTACGCAATTATTCGTATACATGATATGAAAATCTATGAAGACGTTCCCCTATAATTTTCACTTTCTATCTTCAGTATGTTCTTGCTTGCATGGAAACTCGTTTACCCTGTAAATTGTGGTCATTGTGGCAGGGCGGGCACGTCTCTCCGCGCTCGGCGCTGCCATGATTTGTTTCAAATATTGGCAGTAGGTGGTGAAAATTAGTTCTGAAGTGCTTTGTCAGAGAATTGCGAAAATACGAAGAATGAATTGTATTGCGGTCAGTGAGGTAAAACGATTGTCTACAATTTCATTATTTTTGTAATTGGTTGTGTTAAACATGTGTCTTCATCAGGTATATGTTACAAAGTATGAAAACACATTTTACGCAATTGGGGTGTTTGGGTGTTCGATGACAAGGCAGGGTCTAAAACTGGCTATTGATTATTATCCCGGGATAGATAAGTAGAACGTATAGGATGCTGTTACGGCACGTACAGGTGTAATACACGACGCTGCGTGTGCTACAAAAAGATATGAAGTATGGAGGCGTGTACCAGTATCTGTAAATCCATGGTTTGTTTTACATAAATAAACTTGAGTGATTCCATCCTGGTAGTGTGTAACTTGCAGGGGCTGTAACTAGATTCTGCCGTGTAACACTGTGTATGTTATCTTATAAAATTACATTTACTGAAGTCTGATTAACCGTACTGTGTTAAAAACAGTGCATGTTCGTTGCTTGTAAGGAGGAGTATGTGTAAACATTTACGTAATGTGCGTGCTATTGTGGTGGCCGGTTAGTATCATAGCCTTTGGTAAAAATATTAAGATCAGTCAATTTTTTTAATATAAAATTATGTTTTAAACGTCATAAATGAAATATAAGAACTCTGCATTGCACAGTATGAAGTTATTTAAAGATATAGTTCCAATAGGTGAAGGAAAAACTCGTGTAAAAAGTTGTATTATACCTCAGTTTTATTTATGACATTTTTGCATGGTGAAGATATTCAGTTATTTGTGTTAATTTCTGTGTGACTGTTACATGCAGTATGTAACCTAAAGTTTGTGAATATTGAAAGGGTGGAAGGGGAACATCCAGTGGCCCCAAGCACTCCTACTATGCCCATTGTGCCCCTCCTGTGCTGCTTGTACTCTTAAAAGTGTCTCAGCCTTAGCTACAACCAGATTCCTTTAGACATAAGGCTTCATGATATCCATCAGCTGTAACCATGCAGAATTGATGATTATATGGCCAACCAAGTTGGGCATTGCCATTATGTTTTTTGTTGGGCTTCTTGGATTGAATTGAATTGAATTTATTTACATTCTATAAATCCTAAGCAGGTTAGTACCTTTGGATACAGAACAAGTCAAAAGGTTACATACATAAGTACAGGCAATTTTAGCTTAAAAATTAATATAACTTAATTTTACATCATTCTCTATTTACATTGAAGTATTCATCTAAAGAGTAGAAGGAATGAGCATGTAGATAATTCTTTAACTCTGATTTAAACTTTTTAGTATCATTGCCCAAGTTTTTAATACTTTGTGGCAG